CCTTTTTAATCCTGACACATTCTCTCTTCTCATGTTCTTCTCTATTCCTTCTTTCCTCAGCTGAACACTAGTCATATAGATTTAGTGAAAACAAATTGGTGGCGACTTCATAAGCTTTTGTGAGAAGGAAATAAGATCCCTGATAAGTCCCACTGCCACGTCTAAGGAAACACACCATAAGCAATGGGGGGCGGCGGGGGGAGGTTTGTTGTTTTCAATTCTATCACTGCTCCAAAAACTGATTCTCTGAGATGGCTGTTCAGTTGGGGAATCGGATGTAACATTATTCGCTCCACTGCCACCACACAGGGACTTCTTGATTCCTCTTACTACAAACACTCTTAGAGCTGCTGGACTCAGTTTTTCTCCTCTCACCCAGCACAAACATTTGTATATTCTCTAGATATACATTTTCAAACAATTCATTCTTTACCACACCCACCATCCTATTTCAGGACAAATATAGGTAATACAATTTACCAAATACCTATAATCATGACCTAATAGGAAAGCAGGAAAGCTAACAGAACACTAATAAAAGGTGTGATGTTTTGTTGTTGTTGTTGTTGTTGTTGTTGTTTTTAGAGACGTGTTGGTAAGGAAAGTAATTTTTAGATTTGGCACATTCCCAGTGAAACCACACAATTAATAATATTTGCACATTTTTTCAGTAGACGAGCAGTATCAAAGGTAGTGCACAAGGAAAGGCTACCAGATTATACTGAAAACTTCTGTGAGTTCTAAATGACCATGAGTCATGTAATGATTATGATCACAGGAGAAATGGGTCATTATCTCCTTACCTACCTTACTGAAATACTTAAGTGATTTTGGGTTTTGGTTAGAAAACTCTTAACATGACAATTAGTTAACTCATGTAACTCTGACATTTTTCCAAGCTGCTGGCTACATGAATTATTCAGTCTGTGTGTACATGGGTGTGATTTGCTTAGATATGCCTATGTATACTTGTCATTATCAATAAAACCTAGATTCCTCCAAGAGACTAGAACTTGGGCCATTTTTAACATTTATCCACCTTTCATGGGGCAATAATACATGGCATCATAGACTTGTTTTATTAAAATTTTAAATTCTACTGAATTACTGATTTTCTTGATATCTGGGTTTGGCAGTATTCCCACATTAGAGGCCTCAAGGATTTCAGAAACTTTTCAATAGTCCATAAAAGGAGACAATGAATAAACATATGGCTATGTGGCATATAACATTGCATATTGTTGATTCTACTTACAAACTTATTACCTTCTTTGAGTCAATCTATTTTATTCAGGTACCACTGTCCTTGGTCATCTTGACTAGAAAACATTAAGCTAGCTTTTAAACAAGTAGGTACTGCGCTCTCCCATAGAAATTCCACCTCTGTTAGTATATTTTATGCCTTTAGAATATGGCCAGTGGTGGAAAGGAGGGGGTGGTGTTCCTCCTCCCTTGGCTACCCCTTTTCTTCCAGTGCCAGTCTCAGCTCCACTCCCTGCAGACACCTCCTTGCTGGGCTGCCCTTGGTGTCTGTGCATGCCCAGCATATGCTGTCCTTTCTGGGCCGCTCATCTGGCCCTTCCTCACCCTCTTCCCACCTCTGGGCGCGGCCCCTCCCCAGCCCCACACCGGAAGAGGCACATTTTTATACCACCATCACCTTGGCATGAAGCAAAGGACTTCCCGGTCTGGAAGAGAAGTGATTGTCTTCACTTACAAATGAAAACTGGTTCATTAAATGCAGAACACAGCCCTTTCAGTTAGATCTCGAGATTCAGGAGGGAATACGGATTTCCTTAAGGGAATGCCCGACCGGCCGTAGGGGGAGCGGCTCTCGGGCGCCAGCACCGCGGACAGCGCCCGATGCCTGCATCGGTGGCTGGCCGGAGCCACCCGCCCGCGGCCCCCCTCGAGCCTGGGGCTCAGTGCAGCGCCCTGGAGAGGGAGAGCTTCCTCAGCACACACCGGGGGGCCAGGTCGGGCCCTCGACGGGCCTGCCAGTGTTTGGAAATGGATCTGATGGGGGGGGGGGGCGGGGACCGTGAGCATGGGAAGACTTAACTAATGGTGTGGCTCGGAGCTCACTCATTCTGAGTGTTGTGAAAAGTGACACAAGAAGATGGGGCCCCTCTTCCTCCCCTGTGCCCTCCCCCCCCCCCGCAAGTAAACACAACAAACAACTTTACGCAACAGACAGAATGGCTGAGTTTAATGCTTCAAGTTTTCCATTTCCTTCCACAGGGCTTTGTTTTAAAAATAACAAAATGAGGTAAATAAGTTAATGTATGTACACTTTATAAACATTGTGTCGCGTTGCGGCTGCAGCAACTCAAGTTGTTAGAGACGAAGTTGCTGCGCGGTGGCTCGAGGTCAGCCACCTGCAACCTGAGCCGATTTGTCGTCCTGAGGAGAATTCGAGCGCTGTTGGTGGAATGGGGTCTAGAAGCATTTGCGGTGGACGATGGAGGGGCCGGCCTCGTCGTACTCCTGCTTGGTGATCCACATCTGCTGGAAGGTGGACAGCGAGGCCAGGATGGAGCCGCCGATCCACACCGAGTACTTGCGCTCAGGTGGGGCGATGATCTGAAAGACAGTGGCGCGTCAGGAGGGTGAAGGCCGCAGCCCTGAGCCCACGCGCGGGCAGGGGGCGCGGGCCGCCGCCCACCTTAATCTTCATGGTGCTGGGGGCCAGCGCCGTGATCTCCTTCTGCATGCGGTCGGCGATACCCGGGTACATGGTGGTGCCCCCCGACATGACGTTGTTGGCGTACAGGTCCTTCCTGATGTCGATGTCGCACTTCATGATGCTGTTGTAGGTGGTCTCATGGATGCCCGCCGACTCCATGCCTGGGGGCCGCAGGGAGGAGCGTGAGCCGGCGGGGGGCGACCCGGGGGCCGGGCGGGGCTGGGCGGCGCGGCCCCAGGGCTGCTGGCGAGGCCCGCGAGCGGGACTCACCGATGAAGGAGGGCTGGAAGAGCGTCTCCGGGCAGCGGAAGCGCTCGTTACCGATGGTGATGACCTGTCCATCGGGCAGCTCGTAGCTCTTCTCCAGGGAGGAGGAGGACGCGGCCGTCGCCATCTCGTTCTCGAAGTCCAGGGCCACGTAGCACAGCTTCTCTTTGATGTCGCGCACGATCTCGCGCTCAGCTGTGGGGGGCGGGGGGCAGGAGAGGAGCCCTCAGCGCAGGGCCCCGGGGCCCGCGCGCCACCCAGCCCGCCCCGGGTGCCCGGAGCGCCGCGCACCTGTGGTCACGAAGGAGTAGCCACGCTCAGTGAGGATCTTCATCAGGTAGTCGGTGAGGTCGCGGCCGGCCAGGTCCAGGCGCATGATGGCGTGCGGCAGGGCGTAGCCCTCATAGATGGGCACGTTGTGGGTGACGCCGTCGCCAGAGTCGAGCACGATGCCTGCGCGCGGGGCGGGGCGGGGGACAGGGCGGCGAGTGAGCTGGCGCCCCCCGGCCGGCGCGGGCCGCGGGCGGGAGCGGGGGGTGGGGCGGCGGGCGCGCGCACTCACCGGTGGTACGGCCGGAGGCGTAGAGGGACAGCACGGCCTGGATGGCCACGTACATGGCGGGCACGTTGAAGGTCTCAAACATGATCTGGGTCATCTTCTCGCGGTTGGCCTTGGGGTTGAGGGGGGCCTCGGTGAGCAGGGTGGGGTGCTCCTCGGGGGCCACGCGGAGCTCGTTGTAGAAAGTGTGGTGCCAGATCTTCTCCATGTCGTCCCAGTTGGTGATGATGCCGTGCTCGATGGGGTACTTCAGGGTCAGGATACCTCTCTTGCTCTGAGCCTCGTCGCCCACGTAGGAGTCTTTCTGACCCATGCCCACCATGACGCCCTGCGGAGCGGAGACACCACGCGCACGTTACCGCGGCTCACAGTGGCCCGGGGCCCGGCTCCACGGGGATCCCGACCCGGCTTGGTCCGCCGGGCGGCAGCCTGACCTGGTGGCGAGGGCGGCCCACGATGGAAGGGAACACGGCCCTAGGGGCGTCGTCGCCCGCGAAGCCGGCTTTCACCAGGCCGGAGCCATTGTCGCACACGAGGGCGGTAGTCTCGTCTTCGTCACACATGGTGTCTGGTTTCTGCAAAGGACAGCAAGGCCGTGGAAACACACGGCGCGTCAGCACAGCGGCCGCGCTGGCCCGAGAGCCCTCCCTTCCCGGGGACCGACGGACGCCCCCAGCCGGGAACGGCGCGCAGCCGGCCAGGGGAGCCGCCGAAGGGACCCGTCCCGAGCTTCGCTCCCCAGGCTCAGGGCTGCGCTGCCCTGAGAGGGAGAGGGAGAGGGGCACGGGGTCGTCGTCGCGTCGTCGCGACCACACGGAGGATTTCTCCACCCCGGGAGCCCCGGCCCAGGGTCCGCCGAGACTTCTCTGCCTTCCTGCAGCCTACCCGCGGCAAGAGCCAGGCGCGGGCGCCCACCCTCTCCGCGCCTCCGCGGCCTCGCCTAGGAGGTTAGGGCCGGCGATACCTGCTCGCTGCGCACGCGTGCGGGTGCGGGTGCGGGGGCAAAGACACGGCCGTGGGAGGGGCCTTGGTGCTCCAGCCCGGAAGGAATGGCCCATTCCGGACCCTCTTGACATTCCAGGCTCAGAACAGAGGCACCTTTTCGCCTGCTGGCCAACCCAGAGAATAGTGGCTCCTGATGATCTTCGGGGGAGGTTCGTTGGGGAGGTATTGCCCTTGGGACGACTAAAGCAAAACCTTTAATCTACCTGGCACACGCTAAGCCGCCAGGTAGCGGAGCCCAAAGGGGCTGGGGATAAATTGGGAGACGTTTCCAAAAACTGATTGTGTCGTGTCTCCTCTATAAAGCGCGTGTGGCTCTGAGGACCAAGACGCAGGGGGGGCAGAAAGTAGGCCTTGGGGCTGATCAAACGAGTCGGTTGGGTTCTACCCCGGAGTTCTCCAGGCACCCCTCGGTGGTGCCCTGTCACCTTGTCCCGCTGTCCTACTGTTCTCCTGTCCCCGTCCCCTCCCCCACTCCCGCCCTACCTGGGCGGGTGGCTACACCTGTTGCTCTCCGGCTCGGGCCCCGGTCGCCGCGGGAGGGAAGCGAGGCTTCTCTCGGCTGTGTCCGCTGCGGTGGCCGCTGGTCCTCGCGCTCAGGTTTTATATAGCCCGCGGGCGCCGCCCCCCCGCGCCGCCCCGCAGGAATGTCGCTCCCCTTTTCGAGCCATATTTGGGTGTTGGGCACTAGAGCCCCCTCCCCCAGCCGGCCCGCGGCCTGGGCCCCAGCCCGGGTCCCCTGCGCTGACCAAAGAAGGAGCGGCCTGGCCCGAGCCCAGGTAACGCGGGCCGGGCCGTATATGGAGCGTGTCCCCGGACTGTCGGCCCCTCCCGACCCGGCCCAGTTGCCCGCCCGAGGGGATGGGGTGGGGCGAGAGTCACCGCGCGCGCCAGTAGGTGCGTGTTTGCGCCTGCGCTCCCGGAGCTGCACCTGTCCGCAAGGCCTCCGCACCCTGTCCGCTCTGCTCGCACTGGGCGCTCCGGAGGGTGCCTCCCACATTTCAACCCTTCTTTGGCTTTACTCAGACCCCCGAAACCCCACGCGCGGCTACAGGGAGGAGGGAGCCGTGTTCCAGCGGTGGGACAGAGAGGACGGGCGTAGCAGTCACACCGGGTGTCCCAGGAAGGGAAGGAAGGAGACCCCGCGCCCCCCCCCGCCAGTAAACTTCATTTCTCCCTCTCCACCCCTGAGCTCCCCAATTCAGAGGGCTGACCCAAGTCGGCCCCCGCCCCCACCGCGGAGAGGGCAGCCGGCGGCGGGAGGGCGCGCAGCTGTCGCGGGCCAGACAACTGGCGGCGGGAGGAGAGGACGGAGAGGCGGGGAGGAGGAGGAGGAGGAGGGCTCCCGGGGACAGGCCGGGTCGGCGGCTCTGACAGCGGCAGGCACAAAGCCAGGGCACCCGGAGCCGTTCGCCTCAGTGACGCGCAGCGCACCCGGGCGTTCACGAAGGGCGTGAATTTGGGGGGTGTTCTCTTTCTCCCGGACTGACCTGCCCCAGGTTGGGTGGGCCGAGCTGAGCTCCCAATTCCCCACCTCCTTGGTGGGGCTGAGAGTGTCCCTGTCCTGGGACTGAAAGGCCAGGGTCACAACCCACGACCTGGTGGTGGAATGGGTGAAGCACCCTTACTAAATGAAACCTTGCTCGACCTTTCTCCCAGTAAAGAGGACAAGGACATTGCACTCTAGGATGGGTAGCAATTTTTCCTTCTGCAAAGGCTGAACAAACTCATCTTTATATTTAGAGGATGATGCCTTGCCAAGGCCAGGCCGCTTCCCAGTCCATCTTGAAGTCACCATCTACGAGAGGCTGCTGAAGCGGTTCTATTTATATCACTGATATATGGGGATATGCCTTTCAAATTTTCTAGAAGGATTTGGATGGGTCTACTTATGGTAAGGTGGAGTGAGGGTCAAAGGAGGTTATCCAGTTGGTGCTGGTCTCACATTTTCTCTTTTTTTGGCAGGGGGTGGGGGAGCGAGCGCAGTCCTAACCCTGATGTAGAAGGCACAGGGAGACACAATTTTCTGTGATGAACTCAGTGACATGCTTTGAGGGGGTACATCAGTGACGTGGACAAGCGAGAATGGAATCATTCATTTTTCTGATGTGCTTAAGTGTTCCCAAAATAGTTGTGATTCACATTTGGTAGTGGAACTCGGCAACTGGGACAGGTGTGGATTCTCTGGAGGAGGGACAGAAAAGCACATGCAACCCTCCTCTGTAGTCCACATCATGGCAGCCCTTCCTAAAACCATCAGTCAATTAAAAAATAGTTTGGTTAGTATGGGGCTTACGCAGTGAGTGTAAAGGGTCAGCTAAAAGCGACCTTGGTTTCGCATTTAGCTTTTTCAATTATTTTAGAGAATGAGTGACTGACAGAAAACTACCTTTCATTTGTAATACCTCATGTCCTGCTGTCAGTGGGTGGTGAAGAGACTAGAAAAAAATAAACTGGCAAATGCACTATAGGTACAATATAAACAGAAAAGCTTAAATTTTGCCCTGAGAGTAGGAAGAATACCTAAGAATTTGATATTTTAAAGGGGAACGGGGTTGTCAAGACTTCCCAAAACTCTTGCTCAGTGGTGCAGTTCTTCTCTCTTCTACTGCAAGCTTTTCTAAGCCCAGAGTCTATGAGCTTCAAACACACAAAGCTATGAAGGAAACACTCAGGAGGGAGGAGACTGCTAGTACAGCAAACCTTGGGGAGAGGGGGCCTGAGAACACCGGGCCAGACATCTGCTTTCTGCCCACGGTTGGGGCTGTTTAAATAGTCTGACGGGTCACTATGGGGTAACCCAGTCCCATTCTGGTATAGTTGGATTCTCATTGGCCTAGAGGATAGACCTAACAGGCGAGTGGAAAAACTGTCTCCATACATGTACACTTTTGGGGAACACACCAGTGCTCTGCTCTCCCTGATAAGCGGGTGACTGCCTGCATACCCTTTTGAGAACTATCACTAAGTAAAGCTCAGTCATGTAGGGTATGCCTGAGAGTGTCTGCTTCTAAGTTTTCAGGTGCAGCCCCGCTCTTGAAACTTGACAGGGCCCTTGTGCAGCTACTCAGCTGTGGCCTCACAGCTCCCTCCTCCACAGCCCTATACCCTGAGCTCCTCACACATCTGCAGACCCCACTATCGCTGGGTCTAAACCTTCTATTGTTTCCTATCGATTCAAATATGAATTCAGGGGCGCCTGGGTGGCTCAGTCCGTTGTGTGCCTTTGGCTTAGGTCATGGTCTCGGGGTCCTGGGATTGAGCTCCAAATCAGGCTCTCTGCTCAATGGGGAGTCTGCTCCTCCCCCCGCTCGTTCTCTCTCTCAAAAAAAAAATCAAATATGTATTCATAAAACTTCATATGCTTTCATATTGTTAAAAGCATATAGGCTTTTAATTATTCTGAGGTAAGTAAGATAGGTACTAGTCATTCAGTTTTAAGAATCAGAAAAGCAAGGCCCAATGAGCTAGACCACACTCCCAGGTCCCAAAGCTGGGGCTTGGGTGACTCTCTCTCCCACTAGGAGTAGTCAGGGCAGGGCAGGGACTGCTTTCTACCTTCCTTTAATACTTCCCAACACTTAGTTTGGTTCTGAAAATAAGAGATCCTCAAGAGATCTTTTCCAACGAGGGGCCAAAGACATCCTGCAATGAAGTCATGGCTTCTGCCGTGGCCATCTCTATTGGCCTAATGATTCCACTGGAGCCATCAGCTCTCCGCCCCCCACCCCACTACCTCCTAGTATCTAGCATAATAAGTGGGTTAAAAGCTTGCACTTTGCAGTAAAGTATTTCTGGGTGTACCCTCCTCCCCTTCTGACTGGCTGTGTGACCTTGAACAGCTCACTTCAAGAAAGACTCCATATTCTCAACTGAGGATACTACCTACTCCTTAACACTGACTTGAAGATTAAAACTAGGTAAGTGCCTGGGACATAAACACTCAATAAATAGCACAGTATCTTTCTTCGGAGTGTTTGGAGGAGGTGAGGGGGGTGAGGTGGTAGAAGAGGGGAGCAAAGGACATTCAAAATTATTACAACTGTTTGCTAAACATGTCAGCATCATCACAAACTGAACAGGAAGAGTCATGTAAGTTTACAGGAATGTGGAGTACACACAGATTTTTGTACAGATTTATTCTAGTAGTATCTAAAAAGGCAACCCCCCCCAAAAAAAACAAAACAAAACCCAACCCAAACCAAAACCATTAACTCAAGTGTTCAGATCGTTAAGGAGGCAGAGAACCATTAAATAAAGCATGGCACAGCCATGTGGTAAAGTATCATGCAGTCATTAAAAAATTGTATCTTGAACTGTGAAGACATCCATTTTTGAAGGGGGGGAACTGTTTCTGCAGGGTGTGAAAAAAATCTTAAATTAGGTATTGCAATGATTTGTGGCCTCCAGAAGCACAGCACATAAAAAAATATACAGTATATCTGCAGTATTAAACTTTGTGGGGGGGGATGCGGGTGGAGTGATTAGAATAAAACTAAAAAGAGTCCTCAGGAATGACAACGGGAAAAAGACTGGGAAACACTGGATTAAGGATACGTGGAGATGCTCACAATATACACTAGGTTATAGAATACACAGTATGCACAGTCCCAAACTGTCCAAGATGCATTTCACTTTTTAAAAGTTTAAGTAATCTCTACACCCAACATGGGGCTTGAACTCATGACTCTGAGATCAGAGTTGCATGCTCTTCCGACTGAGCCAGTCAGGTGTCCCTAAGATACATTTCAAACTGGTAACTGAAGCTATTTCTAGCTGGTGGGATTATAGGGCTTTATCTTCTTCCATCTACTTTTTTAAAAAATAGGTTTCACATTTTCTAGTTTTTTTTTTTTTTAACTTAAGAATTAATTAGGGCACCTGGGTGGCTCAGTCGGTTAAGTGTCTGCCTTTGGCTCGTGATCCCAGGTCCTGGGACTGAGCCCCGTGTGTGGGGCTCCCTGCTCAGCGGGAAGTCTGCTTCTCCCTCTGCCCTCCCCCCACTCATACTCGCTCTCAAATAAAAATCTTTAAATTTTTAGAATTACACAATTATTTTTTTAAATTATATTTTGGTATCTAATGAGTGGATTTTATATAGAAATATGTAAAACTCTTTTCTCTTCAGGCATTCTCCAAATTAAAGGTCCAGGAATAAGCAGGTAGAACTACATTAATATTTCTGTAGTTATCAGCTTCAACATGTACAAGTATGCTGGATTACAATAGATTAAGAAGTGAGTCTGACGACATTATGGTGTGGCTTTCCTTCCATTCCTGTTCTAGAGAAAGCAATCGGCCTCAAAGGGGAAACATCCTGCACGATCTACCCGCAGGACTCGTGTGCCTGGTGGGCGATATACTTCAGGACTCTGATTCAGACCCCAAAATAAAAGAAACAATCCAGTTTTGAAGTTTTCTTCAAAAAACGAAATCCCTACAACGGAGGGTATCAGTAGCCTTTTACTTCACTGGGGTTTCAGCAAGTCCCTTATGTGTATCCAGTTCTGCCTTCATCCTTGACACATTCACGATTTTTTTTTTTTTAATTTACTTGAGAGGGAGAGAGAGAGCACAAGCAGGGGGAGCAGCAGGCTCCCCGCTGAACAGAGCCCGATGCGGGGCTCGATCCCAGGACCCTGAGATCATGACCTGAGCCAAAGGCAGACGCTTAACCGACTGAGCCACCCAGGCATCCCATATTTACAAATTCTTAAAACATATCAGCACTGTTCACTTTCAAAAACACATTATTGTTTCATTTAATCAAGGCTGCAAGCTGTGACTTTGAGAAAAGCAAGGACAGGGGCGGGGGGGGAACCTTTCCCAAGTCCGTAAAATTTCTCTTTCCTTAGAAAACATGCTCACCTTTATAATGTGTCTTTATCAATTACTCAATTTATGTAAAAATCAATTCTTTGATAAAGACTATGTTGTGAAATTTTTAAATTTAGAAAAACTATTCAAAATCTTAGGCCTTAATTTTACCATTATTAATTTTTAAAAATCCAACCATTTCGGTGCTAGGCTTCTGACGACGAGATACAGCTAGAAGAGCGAGCCTTCCCCTCCCTCAAAATAAGACTATGCATTACACTGTGACAGCAGTAATGCAAAATCATGCCATCAACAGGGCCAGGGTCACTCTCAGACTGGCTTTCCTGTCACACTAGGGCTATCAGATTTGTGGTAGCATGTTGAAGGGGGCACAATCCTGTGTCCCCAGAGCACATTACCGAAAAGGATCATACAGGCAAGAACTGTTAATGTCTATGTCCTGTAAGATAAAAATTTAGCAATTTCTTATCCACCATCTGACAAGTTCAACTTGCCTTAGCACCTTCAATAGGTTCCTAACTTGGACCCTGATGCTGTCCCCACACACAAGCTGCAAAAAAAAAAAAAAAAAAGACAAGGCTGCTAGTGTCTTTCCTTCAGTTATTAATGTAATGAGCTCCATTAGCCTCCTCTTGCCAACGTGTTCAAAGGCTGGATTTGAAGCCTAGAGGGGAAGAGGGCACAGACGGCTGTCCTTTGTGAAACCAGGAACCGGACTCTCTTCACCATATTTAACTTCTGACCTTTTCAGCTGTCGGAGCAAGTTGTTTAGTGAGCATTCAACTGGGCCAAAATCTGAATATGCAGCAACTCCCTGTCCAATCTTTAGTCTTTATTTAAAGCTGATAAAAACTGAGTGATGACATTGGTCAGAACAACGAAGCTTTGAGAACCACTACTTTTCAGTAAATCGGATGCCATACTAAGAAAACCTATAATGGGGGGCGCCTGGGTGGCTCAGTCGTTAAGCGGCTGCCTTCGGCTCAGGTCATGACCCCAGGTCCTGGGATCGAGCCCCGCGTCGGGCTCCCTGCTCAGCGGGAAGCCTGCTTCTTCCTCTCCCACTCCCCCTGCTTGTGTTCCCTCTCTCGCTGTGCCTCTGTCAAATAAATAAATAAAATCTTAAAAAAAAAAAAAAAAAAAACCTATAATGGCTTCTAGCATAACACATGCTTTACATTAATTAGACTGTGGTAAAGCCGGAATTCAGTGTAAATCACCTTGAAAATACATGAAGCTAATTGAATCCCCATACTGAAAGATTGTAACTAACATTAATACTATAAACTTATTTTATGGTAACTTACAGATAGGTTAGAAAACACAGGTCTTATTCACTCCTCTCATTAATACTCTATTATTTACACAGAAATGTTTAATATTTTCCCAATGAATTAACCAGTTCTCAAGCTCACATGAATTATGCCTTGTTTAGTCTTTTAGTCCTACAGCAAGTCAGCAAACCTGACATCTATCTTACTACATATTTCCTACTAGTTCTAACCAAAACAGACACCAAATACTTGATTCTCTTCAGTGCAGAGTCACAGCCATTTCAGAGACAATCAGTGCAATCCTGTCATGTTTAAAGTTATAGAAACTGAGGCCGAGAAGTGCTTTGTGCATACAAGTAGCCAGAACCAGAGTAAGAACTCCAGAACCCCCGACAGAATGAGAAGAGAAAGAAAGGGTAGCAAGCATGGAAATAACAAGTGATACATTTTAGATGGAAAAAAGAGAGAAAATATCTTGTAACAAAAAACCAAAACTACATTCAGTCACACAGCTGTTTTGTAGCAGCTTTCAAATAAAGTATACAAAATTCATCAATACATGTTATAAAACTACAAATTTTTAGATGTTTAAGGCCTAAGATTTTTATAAGGACATGCTTACACAAATTTTCAGGGACAGTGACCATTTTTAGAAAAAGTTACATTTGTCCCAGAACATAATATTCATAGTTTGCTTTCAAAACAAACTCAAAGTAAGGATTAGACTTTAAGCTTCCAAGCTGGTCTGCTTGCAGGAGGTCTCTCACCTCTGGCAGGTATTCACTGAGCTGAATGCCTATAAACACAAACACAGAAAGTCCTTTTTTATTTTCATAAGACTCCCCAATGAATGAAGATGATTAATGATAACATCTGTGCTTCTATTTAAAATATAATGTCACTCCACTATTGGGAAATACTCTGTTCTAAATTCCTTCCACTGCCAAACATACTTGCAGGTCTAACGACAGGACATTCTTTACTTAGAAGTTGCTTGAGTGTTTTTCCCCCTAGTGGTCAAAATAGCCAATCTGATTAAAGTCTTTAATAAGACCTGAAATACTTTCATTTTTCTCCACAGCTTAAGTCATTTCTTCAATGTGGAAGTTTTTAACTAATAATCACCTGAAAACAAGTAGTGCAAACAATTATATATTCCAACAATTATATATTCAAGTATTTCAAACAAATATATAATAATTATATATTCAAGTATTTCAACAATTATATATATTAAGTGTATATCCAATTATATATAGGGAAATAATTTAGTAGAATCGTATCATGAAAACTAGTTCCAGTGTCTCAAAATGTATTACAGTCTGAAATGAGACAGGTGAAGAATCATTTCTTCGTTAGACCGCTATAAAGGTGGAAAGCCAATGAGCACTGATGAAATGAAACTGTTGAATTAGGATCTGTGTAGTTACAAAAAGGTATGTACAATATTCTCACTTGATAAAGAAAACTGGAAAAAAATTTTCAATTAATAAGGCAATATTTTATCATTTGTCACATTAGCATAAGGTTCTCAAAATCAAATACTGAGTTTTTTTTCCAATACCCTCAAAGTGCCTAGCACCATTTTTTGTACTTAACTGTTACATAATAAAAATCTGGGTTATAATAAATGTTATGAGGTGAAATCTGAACTATTTATAGATCCTTTATTATAATTAAAATACTTCAAATACTTTTTGTCTGTAAAACAGCATTACACTTCTGAAAATACATTAATTTCTAAAAGATCAATTCTCTAAAAAAATTAAACATCTTGGGGTGCCTGGGTGGCTCAGTCATTAAGCGTCTATCTTTGGCTCAGGTCATGATCCCGGGGTCCTGGGATCTCCCTGATCAGCAGAAAGCCTGCTTCTGCCTCTCCCACTCCCCCTGCTCGTGTTCCCTCTCTCGCTGTGTCTCTCTCTGTCAAATAAATAAATAAAATCTTTAAAAAAATTTTAACATCTTACTTGGCTTCTATTTTTATTGTGCATGCCCTCTGTTTAGAACTAATATTTGATGACTTCTTTTCTTCACAGCAGGCGTTGAAACTCTGCCCAGTGATATGAGGAAGGCGGCCTCGGGGATCTTGGTAAACTTAAGAGCCAACGCCTCACCCAAAGCGGACAGCACTCAGCAGATTGCTGTTGCCAGGACAATATTGCAGTCCAGTTTAGGCCAATATTTTGATTCTTAGAATTAAGAAAGTAAGATTTTTTTTTTAAGATTTTGTTTATTCATTTGAGACACAGATATATATATAGAGAGAGAGAGAGAGAGGGAGACAGAGAGAGAGAGCATGAGCAGGGGGAGAGGCAGAGGGAGAGGGAGAAGCAGGCTCCCTGCTGAGCCAGGAGCCTGATATGGGGCTCGATCTCAGGACCCTGGAATCATGACCTGAGCGAAGGCAGACCCTTAACCATCTGAGCCACCCAGGCGCCCCAAGAAAGTTAAGACTTTTGTAAGAACACTTCTCAACTATTAAATGCTGGTGGCTCATTAGAAAAAAACTTAAAGTCCATGTAATGATATATGAATTTTGTGTATAATATACCTCAATAATATTAAAAGCAAACTGAAAAACTCCATGTGGGTAAGTTAAATATATCTATGGAATCAATTCTTTCCACAAACTGAAGTAATTGCTGGCTTCCAGAGCTTATGAAATATGAGGCTATCTATATCTCTCTACCGTCAGGATCTGTCCTTTAAAAACATTTGCTATTGTATATCGTAGCTATATTATTAAAAAGCTTCCAAAAATAAATGTATTTAACTTCTTGTTATAAGTATATATACCTTTCATTTGTATATATATATGTTTATTTATTTCTATAATAGTTTCTACTTGTTTTTGTCCTTTGGTCACAATTTAACAATTCCTTCTGTACAATCACAACTTTCCATTCCTATTGTTCATCTATGATTTATTATCTAAGAATAACAAAAACAGCAAAGTCACCTTTAAATAGCACTAAACACTTAATTAGCCACAATTCAACTGTGGCACTTTTATGAGAAACAAACTTCATGGAAAACATTGGATTTGGGTCCAAATGCTTTCTAATAATCTGTTAGGCTCAACTGGAAAATCTCTCCAGCAGTACAGAGAAATCAATCATATCCAGTTATTTTTTCATTTCCAAATACGGAAAAGAGAAAGTCCTACAGGTGCATTTCAGCTCTTTATGAATTTCAAGTATTTCAAATACTTTCAAACAAAAGACAGATTATTTTGCTATATCCCTTCATTATTTCATTTTTAATTTTTATTTTTGTGACAATGAAAAGGCTTAATTAACCTTTGTGTTATTACTCATCTTTGAAAAAGAATGCACTATTAAATCTGTCATGGTAGGATGATCAAGTATCCCTTTCTCAAAATAAAAGTCCAGATCAATTATGAGCAAGTTCCAAGTAATCTATTCACAGAATTACATTTTCACTGGATCACTTACAAAAGGAGACTACAAGTCTGAAATGTAATGCTAAGAGACCATCAGATGGGCTGTAAAACAAAAGCTTCTGACACGCAAACGCTGCGAGTTTGCTTCTGTTTCACCTCAGAATACTGGTTGGTGTGGTTAGTTTCACACTACTTTTCTAAGGGTCCCCCTTCACGTCCCCTGGTTAAGCCAGCAATTCTAAAATAGAAGACTGCAGAATACAATCCATTACAGAGGAGTTTGGGCTACGAATCTGCAAAATATGTGTAGACATTAAAAGGACAAATGTCTATTGAGTGACTACTATGTACCAGGGATGGGGTTCATCATGTTTCATGTAGATTAAATAATGTATCTTGCATATATATGTATAGGAAACTTCCAAATGTGTGTAAATGTTAGTATGATGGATAAAAGTCCTATCCATTTAGAGGGGCTGAATTTACAGTAACTTATCACTATGTATTTTTTCCATTTGGTATAAAACAGAGTATCCTTATATCTGCAAAGATTACTGGTAAACACTAAGCCTAATTTGCGCATTGCCTAAATTTAGTATCACACATTTTGATAGAACATTCTGTAATAAATTGAACCACACATGTACAAAATATGCAAAACTGCTCATCTCTAGTCTAACACTCTCCCTATATTAAGCTCCCCGTAATATGAAAAAAGGTGAAAGTAAATACAGTTGATCCTTGAACAACACGGGTTTGAACTGCATGGGTCCATGTACCTGCAAATTTGTTCGATACAGTACAGTATTGTAAATGTATTTTCTCAATAACAATTTTTCTCTAATTTATCTTATAAGAATATAGTAGATAATACACATGCAAAATATGTGTTAACCAACTGTTTATGTTACTGGTAAGGTTTCTGGTCAATAGCGGGCTAATGGTAGTGAAGTTTTTAGGGAGTTAAAAGTTATATGTGGATTTTCAACCATGCTGGGGGTCAGTGCCCCTCATCCACACATTGTTCAAGGTTCAACTGTATCCTCTACTTCAGATTCCCCCCTGAGAATAGCATTTTATCCATAAAAGCTTCTTTACCTAATTTGTGTCTCAATCAGCAAATGGAATTTTGCTGTTTTAGGTGCAAAACATACTCCCTTCTTTTCCTTTTTATTTTGTTCCTAAGATGAATTTTAGAGTGTTAATGTCCAAAATGGATGTGTAAAAGCATTCTGTAATTTGTACTTTAGTATGGTCGGTTATATATCAAAAAGTTATTTCTCGGGTGCCTGGGTGGCTCAGCTGGTTGGGCGACTGCCTTCAGCTCAGGTCATGATCCTGGAGACCCGGGATCGAGTCCCGCATCGGGCTCCCTGCTCGGCAGGGAGTCTGGTTCTCCCTCTGACCCTCCCCCTTCTCATGCTCTCTCTCTCTTAAATAAATAAAATCTTAAAAAAAAAAAAAAGTTATTTTTCATTTATATATTATTTCAAGTTTTCAATCTTCACAAGAGTTAACTGAAAAATTAAAGGAAATGGCTACTTCTATCATACAGATTTTTGGTGTCACAACCAACATCTGAATCCATTCCTTGTTCATCCTGAATCAGCATGGAGACTTTGCCCACTGGAGTCCACCAGGACCCATGTGGATGGAGACTTCACCTTGACACATGCTCCCCCAATTGGGAGAGGAAAGAAAAAAACCCCTCCTTCACTTTAAATAAATCTAATTCTGAGTATGATACTGTTTAATCTTAAATCACCCTGGCATTGACACCTTGGCAAATCCCCGTTATGCTCAGATTTCTGAAATTGAGGAGTGATGCTATAACTTCCAATATTAACAAACCACTTACCATCTTTTAAAAGTTTCTGTAAGATTTTCACAAATATACTGTCTTTAGATACTTCAATTGGATCATCCTTACCATCTGAACTAGACCAGCTAGAAAACAAAATTGCAATGAGAAGAAAATGAAATCATGGACATATCTGAAATAAATGACTTCTATTTGCTACTGTAGTTTTGTTTTGCTGGTTGTGCCAGGGGTGGAGAATTTTGAGTTTTGTGATACTGTTTCAAAGTATTTAAATAAGGGAGGTTTGAATGCTGAATATACTTAAGAGTCTATTTTAGATACAAAATGCTACACTCAGGTAGCTATTCACCCAACATAACCATATGTATTTGATGTCAAAACAAAGTAGCAAACCATCTTTCCCAAAATAATTCTATAAATAGACAACAAATCTAGTAAAGACTCCAAAGTAGATCTTCAGAGCACAGGTAATAGTTACAATATATTGTAACATATTCTGCTTTTCATAAAAGTAAAATGGTAACCAGGGTCTATTACAATGTAAGTTTTCTTTATCTAGTGAGATTATCTACTGCTGAATCACACACACACACACACACACACACAACCACTGCTTTGTAATCAATGAATATATTCCACAATACCTTAAATGCTCCCCCAATACATTTTTTTTATTTTGAGAGAGCGAGTGAGCATTGGGGGGGGTGGGGTACACACACACACACACACACCCGCCCAGAGCCTGACGTGGGGCTCAATCCCAAGACCCAGAGATCATGACATGAGCCAAAGGCAGACGCTTAACCGACTGAGCCACCCAGGCGCCCCAATACCTTAAAGTTTTTAAATGTGAAGCCATGACAAGGAATTCCAGTCAAATGACAGCATACTTTTTTAAGATTAGGAAGGAGAATCAAGTGGGCAGAGCTAGATGCTTCAGAGAGTGACCTCCAAGACCAAACAGAACAACAATTTTAACTATTTGGGATTGATCAGAGGGAGAAATGCTTTAGTAAAAATAGTTCTACTGCAATTTCTCAGCCCCATATAAAAAGGAAAACTGTAAGTAGGAAAGGGTGTTAGCACTCAAGTCACGTTCTCTAAAATTCTTGTCCTAGAAACAATTCAACCCCCCAACTGATTATTCTCAGTCTTTCACTGCCACCACCTTTCTTTGCCACCATTTCCCATAGATATCTCCCTTCTCAGGAAGGAGATGATCATGAAAAAGAGGTCTCAGTAACTTAAAGAGAGTACTGATACTCTAATAAACTTTTTATTTAAAACAAAATGCAGCTTCTTGTTTGGTAGAACTGGCCCAACTTCTGTGAAAATCAGGAACATATATATTTCTGTGCAAATTGACAGTCCAAATTTTAAAATCAAAAGTAGAGGGGCATCTGGGTGTCTCAGTTAAGCGTCTGACTCAGGTCATGATCTCAGGGTCGTGGGACTAAGCTCCACATTGGGTTCTGCACTGGGCGTGGAGCCTGCTTGAGATTCTCTTTCTCCCCTTCTCCCTCTGCACCCCACCCCCACTCTCTTTCGCTCAAGTAAATAAAATCAAAAGTAGAGATTTATTATACCAGTGGTCCTAAGTCCTTAAACTCTTCCTTAATTATTGAATGAAAAATTTAGATTACTAATGCACACAATAAAATTTTTATAATTATGTTAGAATACAATTAGGTTACAAAACCACTTGATATAGGGTATCATAATCTTCCTAAAGAGTCCTTTTCTAAAACCATAGCTTATATTCATGCTATGAGAACTTACTTATCTCTCTGAAGAGCTTTGCAAAGGATTTCCAGTTTTAGATCATTTATATTTACATCTTCCTCCTTTATAGTAAAACAAAAAAATCCTCATTAAGTGCTGATTTTAAAAAAATACATGCTTAAATTTGAGTTATGTTAACTAATTCTGCATAAATACGACTGACTTACCTTAATTCATAATTTAAAAAAATTTAAGACATGAATACTCAGAAGCATAAGCCAATTAGTAACTGTGTGGGAATTAGTTTCTGATTATTCTGTGATAATCTGATTTTATCAGGAAACTTGAAAGGGTTAAGATTTTAAACAAGGTAACATAAAAGCCAATACACTACATTTTAAAAATCTATCAATTGCAGGGCCAACTATTTAACCTACAGAATTGTCATTTAAAGCCCCCCCTGCACAAAGAAGGTTGAGAAACAGCTCCTCTTAGGGTGAATACTGTGAAGAATAAATTGATAAAGCAATATATCAGACTGAGGAACTAATAATGACTTAATAATGAAAGAGAAAAAAATACCTCAGGACTCTGAAAAGCCGTGTTTTTTATTCATGCACAGAAAAAGACATCTGGGAATGTGTGAGAATTATCAAGAAAGGGAATCTCCTGACAGCTTTTCTAAAGAGCTACACACATTCCAAGAGTTAGGAATAGCTGAACCAGAGAGTCTTTCTAAATTAACACACTGTCATGATTGGCTAAAAGAGGTATTTTTTTCTCTTTTTATAGGTATTCAGTTCTACCAAAAACCATATATATAAATTGTGATACTTGCCTGTGATCATCTCAAGTGATTTTACTTACCTCATCAATATATTCCAGCAAGTCCAAAGCTTTCTTGAAATCATATTCATTAGCTCTTCTGTTTTCTTCACATATATACAGCTATAGAAAGTTCAAATAAGGTTGAGGATTATTTTAAGTAATCCTATAACCAAGACTAGAGAAATTTATGGAGAAAATATGTCATTGTCTTTTAAGTAAGTCAAAGGTATTTTTATTTTATAGTAAGAAGACTATCATCTTTGGAAATCACATTCCATCTATCCTCATAATAAACTGTAATTAATTTGCAAATCTTGGTATATGTACTTTTAAAATGTCAGTAAATTTATATTCTTAGGCTCAAGATAGTATACATATTTTAGTATTCTTTTGAGCATATTCTTTGCAATATGCTATATAAGGAGAGGCCGTTGTGAGCTCAATTATAGGAAATCTGTTACTAGTAATGTCTAAAATACTGAAGTTTTTGAATTGTCTTCTTAATAAAATTAGAGCAAATTCAAAGTGATCCTACATCGCTCTTGCATTTGCAATGCTTTCTTGAAAGGCAAAGAGAGAAGCAGAGTTAAGGCTACACGTGTACTTAACAACAACAGTATCTTACCCAGGCTGCAGCATAACCTAGCTATGCCCTTAAGAATGTGTTATGTTCCAAAGGAAAAGGGTGAGGATGGTACTTATAGGCTATGAAAATCCAGTTCCTTAAACCTTTTTTCTTACGGAACAGCCTGAACTGTACCTCACGGTACCTACATGTCCTATGCCGGAAAAGAAAATACAAGTACTTTCTTCTGGTCACCGGCATGAGCACCTCTAGGAACAGGTGGAGATCTACAGGGAGGCAGAGGCTGACCCACTACTTTCTGCTAATGTGCATCCTGCTCTCAAGCAGCTTCTAACAACTTATTCTGGGGGAAGGGGAAAGTTACCAGAAAAACAGGAAGCAGGGAGATGACTACTCATAGGAACTATACCATCTGACTCAAGAAATACCAATGCTGTTTTGAGACTGAGGAACGGTGCAAGGATGGGAAAAGCACGCACGCTGATGAGCTGAGGGGCCGTCAGCACTGGCATTGCACTGAGACTTAGCTGTTTCTCCGCCAGCAGCTGTTCAGGCAGGGTCTCCTGGTGCAAGAGAAAGCGCTCCTGCTCAGCCATTTCTAGAATGCAAAATGAGAGGCAGGGAGGGGAGTAAACTCTTCTATCATAAAACAAATCTAAATTAAAAAAAAAAAAAAGAGGAACATCTCTAAAGGTAATCTCATCAGTACTTGGTGATCTTAAAATGTTATTAATTCTGCTAAGTTTTGATTTCCGATGTTAAAACATATTCGATTCAAATCATATAAACAATCACAGTCACCAGAAATAGGAGGGGAGAGAAGAGCTATGAAAATAACACTCTACTGTTTGAAGGAGTTGTAGAACAGATGGCTACTTCATCAGGCACAAGTCCCTCAAATCGGGGGTCACCCAGTCTCATTTTATGGTAACTCAGTAACTCCCACCAGAGTTTCTAATATAATCTTTCACTAAGGGAAATGATCTATTTAAAAGCCACCATGAGTATATTCCAGGAAAAACAAAACCTGGTAGTTTATGCACCAAACCTAACTAGGAATGGTAATCTCAACAGGATGAGGTGACCGGGTGAGGCTATCCAGGCTGCAGCCCATTCCCAGGCTTTGCCCAGGGAAGTGTGCTGGGCTGCAGGGGAAAAGGATCGAGAACTGCCATGCAGCCTCATAAACACAGCGGTCACAGCAACGTACAGTGACCAAAGCACAAATATGCTCAAATACTGACATCACTCCATGTGATCCTAATTTTATAACAATCAAACAAATCATTTTTGTGCAATTTCCGTACCTAGAAAAACAGACTGGGAGGATACACAAAATAGTAACAGTAGTAATTTCTGAGGCAGTGAGATTATAGGGACAATTTTTTTTTTATTGTGTTCTTCCTGATAATTTACAAATTTCCATAGGAATTATTCACATAACCAGAAAGTAAGTTATTTTTTAAAAGTCTACTCCCTATGACCATATACACTGATAGTCTGTAGGTAATTACTGACACCTGAAAATACTCCCACTGTTTTAAGAAAGTGAAAGTTAAGAAGTGATCAAATCAAAACGGTGACCAGAGTTCTAACGATTTCTGGTGGGTGGGGAAGCAAGAAATAAAACCTTGATTTGATTAACACAGTCTATCTCTGGTGACCAGGCTAAAATATGGTTTCCCATGTCAGACTATCAGCCAACCTTGCAGAATATATACACACTTCTCTAGAACAATAGGCACTGCTAGTACTTAAAAATGAAAGACTGAAGAATCTCCTAAGGAGTCAATAATAATTTTAATAATAAAAGTTAAATGATAAAAGTTAAAAGTTAAATGATTTATTAAGGACTTAATATATGCAAAACATTTTTTTTCAAGGAACAGTGTCTCCAATCCTTACAACTACCCATTTTATAGCCAAGGAACTGAGGCTCAGAAGGTACCCAAGGTCAAAAGCTAGTAAGCTGGAGAAAATAACTGAAACCAGATCTCTCCAATTTCCATCCAGATTCTTTCCACTATTCCCACTCCCCGAAGAAAAAAATGACAGCAGTATAATTAGAATCCATACCTCAGAAGCTGGACTCTGGCTAAGCCCTGCAACCAAACACCGATATTTACATATACTTCACTCCTGACTACATAAGCTAAGATCCCCTCCAATTTTAATTTTGAAAAATTCCGAATCTACAGAAAATTTTAAAAAAGAATGCAGTGTACACTGTATACCTAGAGTTACCTGCTATTAACATTTTGCTTTCTTTGCTTTATCTACCTATCTACCTACCAACCTACCTATTTGCTTTCCCCCCCTAAGTAATACAGAAGTTGCAGACTTTCATGCCATTTCATTTCTAAATACTTTAACATATACCTCCTAAGAACAAGGGCATTCAACCACAGTATCATTATCAAGTCTGAAAAATTTAACACAAATAGAGTAATGTCATCTAATATTATGTTCACATTTCCCCAGTCATCCCCAAAATGTTTGTCATAGTTGGTTATTTGGGGGATGACTGAGGAGTTGATCAAGCATCTCACACTGTAGTTGGTTGTCACAGCTCTCAGGCTACTTTAATCTAAAACAGCCTCTTGTCGGGCGCCTGGGTGGCTCAGTTGGTTAAGCGACTGCCTTCGGCTCAGGTCATGATCCTGGAGTCCCAGGATCGAGTCCCGCATCAGGCTCTCTGCTCGGCAGGGAGTCTGCTTCTCCCTCTGACCCTCCTCCCTCTCATGCTCTCTGTCTCTCATTCTCTCTCTCTCAAATAAATAAATAAAATCTTTAAAAAAAATAAATAAAACAGCCTCTTGTCTTTTTTTTTTTTGCCTTTCATGCTGCTGAATTTTGAAGTCTGGGCCAATTATATTGTAAAATGCCCCACAAACAGGATATATCTAATCACTCCCTTGTGGTTAGATTCAGGTTGACCATTTCTAGCATGAAAGTAACACAGTGGTATTCTATACTGCCACATTACATCACTCCAGGAAGTACATAATGTGAGTTTGTCTCACTGCTGACGATGGTATCTATTAGATCTGTGTAATAATACTCTGAAAACATGACACGATCTTCTTCCCCTAACCCTTAAACTCAATGGTTTTAGCATCCTTTGATGACTAATTAGTCATCATGGTTGCAAGATGACTTCCCAAGTCCTATTCTACATTAGTTGGTATTCTTTTTTTGTAAAGAAGCATTTCACTGACCCCTCCCCTTTTGGGTATCACTGTGGATTTATGGATTTTTTGTTTTTAAACATTTTTTAAACGGTGAAATAAAATGCTTTACTATCATTCTTTTTGGTGTTCAAATTATCCCCAAACTTGGCCAGTGGAGGCTGTTGTGTTGACATTTCTACTTTAACCCTGCTTTCTGGCTAAACAAGACTTCCCAAGATCATTTCTCCAATAATCCTCAATTCCTTTTACTGAGAAATAGTAGTTAGAAGCCAACGTATAGGACTAGGTATACTCATACTACTGGGGTGTCACTGATTTTAGGCCTTTTCAGTGAACAGAGCCAAGAAATACTTTAATTTTAAACAATCATGATTCCATCTGATTATCTCCAATTCAAATGCAGTACAGGGTTCTTCCTCATCTTCCTTCTAAATTTCATCTCCCTTCCCCTTGGTTCTCAAAAATAACAATATAGCCAATCATTTTCTCAACCTACAATATAACAAAATAGTTGTATACAATTATGACACCAAAAAGTTTTGAATTCTGAAACTAGTAGCTTCAAAATTACCACTATCTACAATAAAACCCACTGAGTAAAGGTCAAGATTTCTTTGCAGTTCTTCTTGTTCTTAGAATATGAATCACTACGGATGTACTCAGAGCACTCTTCAAATCATATAACATCCTTCTTAGGAATTCTTATTTAACATACAAGTTTTCTCTAAAAAACAGAATCCCAAAAAACATACTTGAGTAAGGGTCTAACGACACTGAAATCACTCCTCTTAAAGGAGAGACAGGTCCTGTGTCTAATGAACCCTATTAAATGATAATAGGAATGCACAGAGTTCATTGATAGCATGACTGATGTTCAAATCCTTTCTTTTACCTTCAATTTTTTCTTGCAGCATATTCTCTGAAAAGTCTGAAGCCAATGCAGCCAATTTACTCAAACCAAGAAGGGTTTTTTTCTTTGCAAAGTAATGAGTTTCCACGTTTGCCAAACCCAGAAGTGTTGCATGAGCCTACAATAAACAAAATATGAAAAATGGTAAGATCCTGAGTATTAATTCAAGTTGAAATATTAAGTACAACCCAAAATTGTTTCCCCCCCTTACTGATACCAATGAAAGATCAGATCCAATACTAGCAAACCTAAACCTGACTGGTACTATATACCGAGAGTAATTACTCAATAAAATATTAACCAGCCACACTAATTACTGGGAAAAGAAACATGTATAAAACATTTGTTCTATAACAATTATATATTCACTTCAACATCTTATCAAGGACAAACTTTAAAACTAATTAGGGTACTGTTTTTACTCATAATTTGAACATTTTTAAGAAAATACTCATAAAAAAAGACCACAGACTGTTATTTACACATTAATAAAATTTTTGTGCTTTACTGTAATAGTAGTCAAATCACGAAAGGTACTTTTTTTATTGAGACATTAAAAGTAATGGCAATGCCATCATAAATAAAAAAGAACACTTTATTTAAATTATGTCAGAGAATAGGAGATACATATTTAAAATAATCTCTAGGGGCACCTGGGTGGCTCAGTTGTTAAGTGTCTGCCTTCAGCTCAGGTCATGATCCCGGGGTCCTGGGATGGAGCCCTGCATCGGGAAGCCTGCTTCTCCCTCTCCCACTCCCCCTGCTTGTGTTCCCTCTCTCGCTGTCTCTGTCAAATACATAAAATCTTTAAAAAAATAATAACATAATCTCTAAATAGTATTTTAATCACTAAACTACACCAATCAAGTAAAAAATTGCCTAAATCTGCTCCATGTAACTCAATCCTTCTTACCTTTTCTAATTCTTGGCTGTTAATTTCATGTAACCAGCTGAGATGTTCATGAGCCTGCAAAAAATTCGCCAACTCTCCGTGCTGAGAAATGGGCTGAGATAATAATTTGCCTCGCTTTCCTTTCTCCAGATACCAACGGAAGAGGAAGTCTGAAAAATTCTACAAATAACAGGGCAAAGAATCCAGTAATATTCAGTAATACAGTTTTAAAAAGTACATTTCTTATAATAAAATATTAATTTTTTTCAAAGGTCTTAGATTGCAGAACAGAAATCCTTAAATACTTATTTTCTATATGGTAGGGCCTTAAAAAAAACTTAGTCATCTCATTTAATAAATGAGGAATTCAGATTCAGAAAGGGGATCTTGCTCAAGATCATGTAAACTTTAGATGTGCGTGGTGTGGTATGGTAGCCATTAGCTACATGTAGCTGTTTAAACTTAGTTAAAATTTTAAAATTCAGCTCCTCAGTCACACTCACATTTCAAGTGCTCAATGGCCCTATGTCCTATCATAGAATATATGAGTAAGATCTCCAGTGTCACAGAAAGTTCTATGTAACAGTGCAGAACGAAAGATTCTCAAGGATTGAATTCTGTGCCAGAAGGCCATGCAGACTGGCATGATAAATAGGAATCTAGAGAGGCCCTCAATGCCTAGCTGGTTTTTCCCATCAGACGTCTGCTGAATGCTGGGGTTACGTATGGAAGCCTAGGGTGGAAAGGAAGACTAAAATGTCCTACAGTCACACAGTATGTAAGAGATGTTTCCACTAAAGAAGGAATTCTTCAACGAACATACCAATCCCACAAGACTTCGAAACCAGAAATGAAATGAATATAACAAAAGCCACAACCAAGCCTTGGCCCACCTCTATTCTTGATGAATCAAGTGACCTGCCTCTCACCCTATCTGCCTCCCCAGAGAAAAATAGCATTCATTTCCACCTTTAAGGTTCCTTTATACACAATATCCAAAATAAAACAAAAAAGTACAAGACATAAAAAGCAGAAAAATAGGACTAGTAAGTAGACAACAGAACCAGACTGGAGAATGATCAGATTTTGGAGGTATCACAGAAGGATTTTTAAATAATTACTAAACATATTAAAGAAAATAAAAGAATGCTAAAATGGATGGAAAATGTTGACAAAGGGCTAGAATCCACAAAAAGGATAAAAATCATGATGGGCACAAAAATATTTACTTAAGCACTATTGTGAAATACTAAATAAGCCGTGTCCAACAATCAGGCCCTGGTCAAATATGGTAAGTTACACCAAGTTCACAATATACCATAACAGCATCAAAAACATTATTGTGAAATACTTAATGATAAGGACAAATATTTGTGATATATTAAGGGAAATCAGCAACTGGCAAAACATGTTTGTAATATTATACAGTGAAAAGACTAGAACAATATAAACCAAATGATAAAAAGGGTTCTCTCTGGGTGGTGAAATTGTGAGTGACTTTTAAAATTTTCTGGTTTAAAGGTTTTCTGAATTTTATACAATGTCACTTTTATAGTAGGAAAAAAATCAGTTTTTACATGAAGATCAACTGACTGAATAAAGTGGCTTTAAGAAGCAACTATAATTCATCTAGAGAGTGTCATAATGAGAACTTTTAAAAAAAAATAAGCATGATGTCAACCGAGGAAAGCTGAGCTCTCCAAAAGCTGCAGCATCCTGTGCTCCCAAGATCTTTTTTCAAAGTTTTAAAACTCTCCCTATATTCGTCTATTTACTTTTAATTATAACTGGAAATATCAGAATAGAAATTAAAGTTTTAACACATTCTTCAAAGGTCAAAGAATCTTTCAATAATATTTGGAAATGTCTGCCAATTTACAAAGAAACAATGCACAAATTAGTATCTAAGTTAACTGCAAAAAGATTGTATATCATCTTCCTAAAAACCCAAGTAAGATTTAAAATGGTAAAACCTACTACAGGATCTACTGCCTACGTCCCCAGCGTTCATTACCTACCTGATCGGCAAATTGGGTCATGTAGCGCTGGAGTCTGGTCTGGTTGTCAGTCTGCTCACACATCTGTACTAAGATATCAAAGTCACAGTACTTTTCTGCTAATGAAGCAGCCCACGGGTACTGGCCTAGTGTGACTGTAAAAATGAGAACAGATGGAAAAAAAAAATCCTGTCAGTGAAAACTTAATACGTGATAAAAAATATTACATGAAATTTTACCTTTAACTCATACCATACTCTAAAAATAATGGAAGAGAAATCCTTCCAGTTACTGGCATTTAGTTTCATAATCCACATAAATTCATTAAAGAGGCAAATTTAATCCTTTTTGTTCCTGCCTACCTATGAAGCTATTCCCTTCCCATGTGTACAACCCCTCCTCCTCATCCTAACTATGAAAAGAACATGTCCTTTGCTGAACAGCCTTCATCATGCTCTACTGGGCAGACTAGTTATTCATGTAAAGGTCTCAGATGACAAGCTCTTGGAGGGCAGTCTCCATCTGTTGCTAATTTACCTTTTCAAATCCTCCTCAGCATGGTACTTGTACCTGGGAAGTTTTGAAAACAAGGTTGAACAAATGAACACAGAAAGCTGTACATATATGCTTTAAGTTCTTGGTTATGGTTGGATGAATGATAGTAGTACACTGAATACGCTGCATTAATGATTTGACTCCTTCATCCGTTCTGCAAATTTAAAGACCCATGGCCCTGGCTAAATACCATGCACTTACGAAGTGGAGATAAGAGATCTGATCTTTTCTGTAGGTATTCCATTTCCAGACTGCTATATCTTTCTTGATCACCAGATCGGTCCAGAGACTTCAGCTGGGAAACATAACCATCCAGGAAGCAATCAATCAGTGCTACCAGCTGCTCTGTCAGAATGTTTCGGAGGTTGCTGTCTGCTTGAGGATAAACCACTTTCAGGACAATTCCATGCTGGCGTTCTATTACTGTTCGGATGCCTGAAGGACCACTTGTTGCTGTGAAATCACACAAAGTAATACGGTAAGTAAGGGTTCTATACTTGCTAAGGGAAAGACCAACTGCCTAAATACTATCACCTCACTGCTGCTGGAAAAATAAATCAAATAGGGTTTCAGCTGATACCTCTCTGTCCTGCTCAAATCCCATCTTCTATATGGGAGACTTCCTCAACAAAGCCAGGTAAACATGATCCTTTTTCCTTCTAAATCCCTTTAATGCTGCTCCACTTACTTTTTTGTATTAAATCAACATTAAATATAGTCAACACCTCCAGAGCCAGGACCTCCTTCTTTGAATAACTATATGCCCTAAAATCTAGTAGACATGGAGCGCCTGGCTGGCTCAGTCACTAGAGCATGCGACTCTTGATCCTGGGGTCATAAGTTCAAGCCCCTCGTTGGGGGTAGCGATTACTTAAAAAATAAATAAGTAAATAAAATCTAGTGGACACATAATAAGTACTAGTGAAATACATTATAGAGAGATCTATAAATTATTCAAGGGAATAAAGCAATTTTCACAAGAATTGCTCATTCTGGAGATAGCACTTATTTTTCATTTCACTTATAAATCTACACTAATGGAGTAATACAGCTTCCAAAAATGCGTCATCAGGAATGTACTTTGAATGACTGCTAATAATAAATCAGTATATTTGGGCTCAGTGCTTGCAATCTCACCTGTCCAAGGAACATATTCAGGTTCCTGTTCTAGTGGTTCTTCTCTTCTATATAAGGAGTTTCTATTTTGTCGATAATGACTAGCAGCTTGTACCATGTCCTAGAAAAACAATGTGATAGCATATGCAGAAAGCGATGAATCCCAGTATTTTTAAAGGTAATTTCAAACACCAAAGTCTATTAATACTAAAAAATACTCGGCACAGGTCTGCAAAATTACTTTTTGGTTCTTTCTGCATTGAAATTTAATTTCAATTTTGGAAAACTATAGTAACCAGAGTAGGGAAACCATTGCTATAAAGACCATTAGCTAAGATTAAATGGAACATTTTAATCAGTAATATAAACAGTAAGCATTTGAGTGATTTATTTAGTTAGTATAACATTAATACATTTGTAATGATATATATATATATCCTTCTCCAAATAAAAGGTTTATTTTACCAAACAGAACTCAGGATCATAGACACTTAATATGCACAAGGCAAACATTCAAAATGTTTGGCTGATTAATAAAATGGCATTTTTCTAAATTTTTGGAATTAAATGCTAAACACTTATAAATTACTGGCGATACAGAATAGGAATATGGAAACCACTTTCTCTTCTATCCACACTCTGGTCTTTGATTTGCTGAAATCTTCACTGTAATTTTGTACCTTGAGAATACTGTTCACATTGATGACCACCTCAGCCCATTCAACAGATTCCAATGATGTATCCTTTAAGACCTGCTCCTCATGCTCTAGTAAGCACTCACAGACGGTGTCTACCTGGGACACCTGGGGAAGTACAGAGAAGGCAATACTTAAAACAAAAATTATGGTGATGGTAATAATTACAACTGCCCAGAATCTACTCAAGGGGCTTTTCTCATCAAGGAATACCCTCAGCTCATTAGCCAGAATAAAACAGCTGATGGTGAAAATAAATTTAAAAGGAAGTAGAAAGAGAAAATATTGTTCAAGGAATCCTTGAGCAACAAGGTTTGAACCGCATGCATCCACTTACACGTGGATGTTTTTTGATAGATACAGTAAATTTATTTTCTCTTCTTTATGATTTTTTAAAACACTCTGACTGCTTGGGGGGTCAGCACCCTTAACCCCCCGCATTGTTCAAGAGTCAAATGTATATAACTTCTGTTCTTTTCTAATTTTTTTGTCATTATTAACACATGAAGGTAATGAGGCAAAAATATTCTTTAAGCACTGAAACACCTGTTTCCGGTTTCAGCCCATGGTTAAACTTTCCCCCCTTTATTAAGTGGATATTTACTTAATACATTTAGAGTTTGCATATAATTGGGCATGCAAAGAAATAACAGAAATGAGGTTTGCTGCCCTTATGCTTATAAGCTAGTTGAAGGAACAAGACATATGCATATGCAAAATATGGCCCAAACAAAATCATCTTTTAAACCCTGTTATTCCTTTTCTATTTCAGGTGTTAGTCAAAGGCATCCTAATAGCCCCAGCAAGAGACTTTTGGCTCATTTAATTTGCAAGATTAAATGTAAGAATTTCTTAATATCGCTAATGTGAAAATGGTAAGAAAGCATGTATGACATAAAAAAGCAGGAAATATAAAAGCAGGGATGCCTGGGTGGCTCAGGTTAAGCATCTGCCTTCAGCTCAGGTCATGATCCTAGGGTCCTGGGATCAAGTCCCACGTCGGGCTCCTTGCTCAGCAGGGAGCCTGCTTCTCCCTCTCCCGCTCCTCCTGTTTGTGATCTCTCTTTCTGACATATAGATAAAATCTTAAAAAAAAAAAATATATATATATATAAAGCAAATAAAATGTCAAATAAATTGCTAAACACCTTCACCACGAGAAAGTTACATACTCAGTGGTTTCAAATACTATTTATGCTGACCCAACAGTCTATCCCTTAAGCAGTTAACTCTATGGAACCCTAAGATTCAGAACTACAACCCAAAGGAAACTTAAGACCAGTAAACGTCATGAGGAATTAAGATAAATGGTGATGTAAATAGTCTTAAACATTACCATTTTCCATATGGAGCGTTCTTTTGAAGAACCAATCACATTTTTGGTTTTGTTCTATCATATTCCTAAGGTACTACTCATAAATTATGTATCCAACTGATAATTTCCAGATCCTTCTTTTTTTTTTTTTTTTTTCCCAGTTAACTGGAAAATGCAGGTATACTGAATTAACTAGTATGCTTTCCACTTGGATCCAAATGCAGAAAAAGGAATCAGACTCTTACTCAATTCTTTCAAATAATTTGTTAGTAACTTTTTAAAAAAATTTGCTTTGCCATGTAAAATTATGTATGAACAAAGACCAAAAAAGAACACAAAAGTTACAACAGTGTGATTGTGAAAGGAATCTATACACCTTAAGGATCCTACCTTTTCCCCTTCAAACCCCAATAGCCTCTCAAACCTGAGGCCCTGAGAGACTTACAACCCTCATTTCCAAATTCCTTTCCTCAAATAAACCTACTAACTCTCCTTACGGTACTCTAATCCTTCCAGTCAAAAAGCCAGACGGTTCTTATAGACTTGCTCAGGATCTCAGAATTATCAATGAAGCAGTCTTCCCTATCCACCCCATCGTCCCCAATCCATACACCCTTCTCCCCACTATTCCACCCTCCACCATGTACTTCACTGTCTTAGACCTTAAGGATGCATTCCCTACTATTCCCACCTCCCCAGAATCCCAGGACCTTTTCACCTTTCCCTGGACTGACCCCAACACCTGACACTCCCAACAGTTAACTTGGACAGTTCTCCTGCAGGGTTTTAGGGATAGCCCTCACTACTTCAGACAAGCTCTGGCATGAGATAACCTCTCCCTCCCAAATAGTGCTCTTATCCAATATGTAGGTGACCTTCTCCTCTATTAGCCCTTCTTTGCCCACTTCTATTTCTGACACCATCACTCTCCTCCCCTTCTTATACAACAAAGAGTTAGGGCCAAGTGCAGACACCTGTGAGTTTTGTCTGTAAGCTTGGCTGGAGGTGGGGGAGTGAGGGCTTTGCACAGATTCCTTTCAGATTGGTTAGATCACGGAATTTGAGGTAAACTGTTTTTCTTTCTTTCATTCAGATTTTGGGGATATTTCCTAGATTTAAAAAACAACAACAACAAAATAAAACAAAAAAGTGCTTTGCCTTACATCCTTAGACAAAAAACTAACCCAAATATATAAGAACAGGCATTCTTAGAACTAAATACATTTATGGATTCAACAGAAAACCTGAACATAGTTCAGGGTCTTAAATTATTTTTAGGTTACAGTACATGAAACATAGCTGGCCCTTAAACAACACAGGTTTAAACTGCATGGGCCCACTGATGCACGTATTTTTTTCGATACAGTACAGTACTGTGAATTTATTTTCTCTTCCTTATGTAAATTTTAACATTTCCTTTACTTTATTATAAGAATACAGTATGTAATACTGTATATAACATACAAAATGTGTATTGATTTAACAATTGGTAAGGCTTCTGGTCAACAGTAAGCTACTAGTAGTTTTTTTTTTTTTAAAGATTTTATTTATTTGACAGAGAGAGTGAGAGAGGGAACACAAGCAGGGGGAGCAGGAGAGGGAGAAGCAGGCTTCCCGCAGAGTGGGGAGCCCAATGCGGGGCTCGATCCCAGGACCCTGGGATCATGACCCAAGCCGAAGGCAGACGCTTAACAACCGAGCCATCCAGGCGCCCCAGTAGTTATGTTTTTGGAGAGTCAGAAGTTATACACAGATTTTCCACTGTGCAAGGGGATTGGCATGTTGTTCAAGGGTCAACTGTATTAAGAAGAAAAAAGGACTTCTTGGCATAGCCTGTTAGATGCTAGATTATAGCTAGACTGTGGTAGGAAGGAAATAAAAATGAAACTGACCAAATAGAGTTAAAAGTTCCCCATGTGTAAAAAACAATTATAGGGAGGGAGTAAAGTCTCCCCTGCCCCTGCATGAGGTTGTAAGAAGTTGCACAAGAACAAGAGCTGTATGCTATTATCACAATAGTCAGCTGCCACCAGCTGGCCAGCATCTTAATCTTTTCTTCCTCTGATGTTTACAGCAGGTTTTTCTTTCCCTTGGAAAATAAATCTGATTTTAAAAGCAAGGTAGATAGTAGGATCCTAGCAGGTAGTGAGCAGAGTTTAGTGAAGGGCCCGTTTGTGGTGGTGCTGGCAGGGGCCAGGGGATCTACAGAGGAAGGTGCAGCATCCAGGGCCAGCAAGAGGGGAGCCACTACGAAGGCCGGGCGTGACGGGGCACTGGGCGGAAGCAGTACTGGAAACATGGGAGAGCAGCCAGCGAGAAGCCTCAGTCTCTGACAGAAGGCCCTGCAAACTGCAGTGGAAGCAGGGAAGGAACGAGGCTGGGGGAATAACTGATAGAACAAACAATAACAGATAACCACTCCCGGCCTGATACTGCGTCACCGTTATCAAAGACAACAGGAGGACAAAGGAACCCACTGACGAGACGCCCTCCAGAGGGGGCAGCGTCAAGAGTGGGTTCGGAGAGGCAAAAAGAAAACATCCAGCAGCCAGTAGAGAAGACTCCGTCAATTTTGCAAGCTCTAACTTACAGGGAATGTGCTAAATAAACATGGAGTCCTATTTAAAATTTCAATGAGATTTTTTTTGTGCTCAATCTTTTCCCTGTTCGAGGCATGATCAGCAAATGGCATAGCTCTACGAAGCCACATTAAAGGCAGAAGAACTCCTCTTACTTCTCTAAAAAAGACATCTGCTGGAGTCAGGTTGGATGGGATTTCACAGTCCCTCTTGTTTAAAGCAATCATTATTGCTGTGTTCAGCAGGTCCGAGAGCCTGGAGTGGTAGTTCTTGAGAACAATGGCGGCTGATAACTTTTCTGCATGCTCACAGAGCAACAGTCGAGTTGCCATGGGCATCCCTCTTACTGCAAAAGTGCCAAGACGTCCAAATAAGCCAACCTGGGGAAAATACAAACACATGTTCTTAGGAAACATTTACAGTAACACACGAAATAATGCAGGCTTATCCCCACCAGAAGCACAATGGGTACAGAGCTGTTGGCCTTAGGTGTCCCCAAGAAAGTTCCTCAGCTATCTTCTCCCTTCCACCATTTTACACACACACACAACTTCAACCAGAGCCACTAGCACCTATAACAAAGTATAGATGTTCCTCTTCTGAGATTAGGGTCATTCCACTACTCTATCTTATTTCTCATTATTTATGGTTATCAAAAGCGTAAAATTGCTCTTTTCTACCTAACTCCCCAAGATTCTAGATCTTTGTGAACTAGACACTCAGCAGTCTCCATCTTTAGCGATTAATTTCCAGAACCTTAAAGTCATGGGAAGGGTAGGAGAGTCTTTAATCCTCTGCACTACTACCTGTGCCTGATGCCCATTTCTGATGTGTTACTCTGGGAGTTCTTCTTAGCTTTCTCATCTGATAGTGTTAACACCCAACTAGGAAGAAGCCAAGAGACACATGTAAATACTGAATACTCTTCTACACTTTATTACTGAGTGACTTGATTTTTGTATGTTGAGGTTTATTTTAAATAAAGTACATAGTAAACAAAATAAACAATGCCCCAAATCCCCAGAGAAGTCCTACTGACATGGGTGAAAAACACACATGGTTAGAAAACTTTTTTTTTTCTGAATTAATTTCTTTTATTACAATGAGCTTAAGAAAATAATAAGGAATCTACCTTTTGCTAAATGGGCTAAAATGGTTTTCTGCAAATCCCCCATGAGGTTAGTGACAGTCTTCTTTCTTCTTCTTTTTTAAAGTATAAAGATAGCCCTATAGTGTGTAAATAGGAAGCCCCAGGAGAAGGCTGCTTCCCATACAACAATCATCAGAATCATGGAGAAATAAGAGGTAATTACAGTGAAAAGCCAAAACAACTTGTGTCTTGGAAGTGTGGTTCACACACGCGTGTCAAGAACAAAAACTGTGGGGCGCCTGGGTGGCTCAGTCGTTAGGCGTCTGCCTTCGGCTCAGGTCATGATCCTGGGGTCCTGGGATCAAGCCCCGCATCGGGCTCCCTGCTCTGCGGGGAGCCTGCTTCTCTCTCTCCCATTCCCCCTGCTTGTGTTCCCTCTCTTGCTGTGTCTCTCTGTCGAAAAAATAAATAAAATCTTAAAAAAAAAAAAAAAAGAACAAAAACTGCAATATCAGCCAACTGAAAACAAAAAATAAAAGATGACATTCGTGGGTCTTTTCCCTTTTTCTCTGTGGAAAAATGCTCTTTCATTTTTTTTAATGAGAGAAGACTGTTCTTTTCTTTTCTTTTTTGAAGATTTTATTTATCTGACAGAGACAGAGAGAGAGCACAAGCAGGGGGAGGAGCAGAGGGAGAGAGAGAGAGAAGCGGGCTTCTCCGCTGAGCAGAGAGCCTGATGTGGGGCTCGATCCCAGGACCCTGAGATCCTGACCTGAACAAAGAGAGACGCTTAACCGACTGAGCCACCCAGGCACCCGAGAAGATGGTTTCTACACTGTGACCTGACATGAAAATGCTGTGTGCCCAGGGTGCCACACCCAGCAGCACCTCTCACTGACTACCACTGTGAGCAGAGAATCTGGACAATAAGAGGATGAACATGACCTCTCTTGGCTGGAGAACCATTTCTTGCCACTTTGCTGCTGAATTCACTCATGAAACTGCTCAAAGAAAAGCTGCACCCTGACTTCTGAGAATCTACAGAAATTATATATAAAGACTATGGACTAAGAGGACAGCACACATGAACCCTTCCTTCAGAGAATACAACCAAAAGAGAGTGGGTCTGATAAACTGGGGCCAGAATGAAGGATAATACTGTAGGTCAGACCTCAAGGCTCTCAGGAACATCATCTACCATCCCAAATGAATACCAAAGCCAGGAAAGAGGGTGTGAAGCTCTGACCCATGAAAGAGAACAATACAAAACATTTAACAAAGGCACGCTACTCCCCCTGAGGCTCAATCAACAGTGCAGGGCTTGCTTGGCATAATGTGGACACCAGAACCCTCAGTTGTACTTGGTTTGCCACCTTTGATTCCCCATGTTGCAAAGAGAACTGGAACCCTGTCAGATTCCTGGCATTATTTCACTCACACTGGTCCCTTTAAAGTCGTTCCTCAAGCCAGACCCCAAGGGGCCCTGTATGCAGTGAGGGTGTAAACTCATGATCCATTTGTCAGTCTGTAGTTAGAGCAGGAGAACTTAAACCTGATGAATTCTACTCTGTAAAACAGCAACCATCAGTGAGTTAGGGGTATCAAAGAGGCTTCTGTGAAGGGGAAGACTCAACTGGGATGTGCAAGAAGGCAGGATTTGAAGGTCTATGCCTAGCAGCCTGCAGGAGTGACTCAGGCACTAAGCTCCCAGCCAACCCTGACTAAGCTGGCATGGGGGTGCAGAGGGGGCATCCGCTCAGTGTTTAAACAGTCCTCGAATAGAGGGTTCTAGACCTCTGTGACACTCCTAAAGCTCAATGTACCTGCTACCTTTGAAAAGACAGGTGTGATGCTTACCTGCTCAAGTGCAAGATCTGCTCTCTTAATTCCTTTGATAATAAAGCAACACCCTAGAAACGAAGAACCTTGGAAAATCGTGGGAAAAACCACATGGGCTTTCCCAGTGCTAGCTGCCTGTTTTGGGATATTAGTTACAACCTTTCATGACTCTGAGAGCTACAATGCAGGCTACCTAGCTAGAGCAGTCTGAAAGAGTCCTCCTGCTTTTCCTTCACAGAACACAAGATAAAGGGAGAAGTGACCAAGATTGTGGTAGGTCACCATTCTGGAAATCTCTGCACCACACTGTCCATGGCGAAAGCGGAGAGCCTGGCTTGCACATGGTTAGAAAACTTAATAGTACAGAGAGGTAAAAGTCCCCAGCCCATTCCCTAGTGGAGGTGCAGTTAAATTTCCCTGCGATCTTTATATGCTTTTGTGGCATTCATAATGCTAGGAGACTTTTTTTTAACACAAAGGGGTCACACTATATATATTGTTTTGTACCTTGTTTTGATAGCATCTTATTTTTTCACAACACATTTAGATACACTTTTTTTTTCCTCATTATTTTTAAGACCATGGAATAGGTTGCTGGATCAATCTGTCTTAGTTTATTCATTCACCCTGTTCACCTGGTTCTTTTAAAATAAGAGTTGCATTGTCTTTTCTGATTTGGATTCTCTTCCTGGTTCCCTCACAAATATTGAAAATGTAGTTTTTACATGAGGGAATTCTGCTTGCCTCAGCGCGGCTGCACTGCCAGTGAAGTGATGTCTACCCATGAACATCGCTCAGGCCCCATGACAAAGAGAAGCACAGTAACACCCTGCCTCTAAGCCTCTCCGCACTACGTGTGAGGACATATGCTTCCCTCAGTGCCAGAAAACCGGAGGCAAAGGGACTGTCCTGAGGCCTGGATATTAATTCTCATCCCCTTTAGCACGAGATATGGCCTCATTGGCACAGAGTCTGGCTTGAGGAGAGCGTCATATTCAGAAGTATTTGCTTAGGGGTGCCTGGGTGGCTCAGCTGTTAAGCCTCTGCCTTCGGCTCAGGTCATGATCCCGGGGTCCTGGGATCGAGTCCCACATCAGGCTCCCTGCTCAGCGGGGAGCCTGCCTCTCCTTCTGCCCCTCCCCCTGCTCGTGCTCTCTCTCTCTCTCTGACAAATAAATAAATAAAATCTTAAAAAAAAAAAGTATTTCTTTAGATACAAGTATCTGGTTATACAATTATTTACATTAATAATAATTAACAATTAATAATATGCTCTAAAATATTAAAGGTAACTCAAACATAAATGTATAGCCAGAATGGGATTTTTAGATCCAGCTAGATATTACCTTGCAATGGACACTGCCTCTAAGAGCTGAATGACTCCAGCAGGGTTTCTGAAGCCTGGGGAGGCTGTGCCAAGATATACGACAACTGCTCCTGCTCCACGGCTCTCTCAACCCTCTGATAAATTAGTGTGTGCTTGGGTGGCATATTAAGGCATGAACTCCTTCCATCCCAGTATGCACATCCTCCTGCAACATGACTTTGGCACTCCTCCCATCAAGAGGTAGAATCCATCTCTCAATCCTTTTCATCTGGGCTGGGCTGGTGACTTGCTTTGACCAATGTCACTTTGTTTGGTGGAAGTCACATTTTGTGACATCTAACGTAAGACCTGAGGAAGACTACAGCTTCTAAGTTCATCCCCATGGAGGGCTGCCCTGAGACCACAGGAAGCCAGTTCAGCCTAAAGGAAGATTAGAGACTAAGTGGAGGAGAAGAACCATGTGGCCCAGCTGACGGCCTGACATCAAATGTCAGGCAAGAGAAGCTTGCGGACCTTCCAGCTCAGCCTATCCTAAATGCAGTTCAAGGAGTGGTCCCAGCTGAAATCCACAGAAAAACCACCCAGGTACCCGAAAGAAATGTTTTAATCCACATTTTGGGGTGGTTTGTTAGGTATTAATAGTTACCTGATACACTTGACTAAATGAACAATTACATTAGAAGAAAATGTTGTGTTTTTCCCCCCATTAATTTGTAGTCTATCTAAACCACTTAAAAAAAAGGAGAGAGACTTGAATGATTGGAGTGCCCTTGCCAAGACAATAAAAGTAGACAGGAGCCAAACCATACATTACAACTGAAGCAGAATGTGGAATTAAGAACAATCAAGGTGTTTCTGGAATCATCTAGAATTGCACTGTCCAATAAGGTAGCCACTATCCACCAAAGTGATAATTTAAATTTAAGTTAATCAAAATAAATTAAGAACAAATATAATTCCTCAGTTGTACCAACCACATTTTAAGTGCTCAGCAGCCGCCTGTGACTAGTGGCTACTGAGTAACACAGATATAGAACATTCCCATCACCACAGTAAGTTCTATTAGACAGCATCAGAATCTCTTTAACATGAAGGCATTACTGATTTTGGAAAAAGTAAGCAAAAGTGGGATTAAATGCATTCATTTGGATATATAATATGCCCGGGAGCCACTACTGATCAACAAGGCAGAGATGGGTGATACTGTGTAACAATTCTGTCTAGCAGTAAAACCATATTCTAATTTTAGGCCCAATATAAATGAGGATACTCCATTAAAAACAAAACAAAACAAAAAACCACAAACTTTAAATAAGGAATCAATTCTAATGGCACTTCAAAATTATAAACCCATATATCAAAATCTGTTATCGCCTTAATATTCTTCACTATCTTTTCAATAATACAAAGGCAATTCATGAAAACCTAAGTTTACTTAAAAGCACACAGGTATCAAAGAATGTTAAAAGAAAGTTGAAACATTTCTGTGGAAATACACTGTTTTTCTTCTTTTTAGCCTGTTTTCTGTGCAGCTTTTATACTTGAATAGCTCCCTCTCCCCCACCAGCCCTGGACTTATTTACTTTGAAGTCAGCAAAGAAAATGGAAAACACTAGTCAGGTCCGACCCCACAAAACACCTCAGAATAAGAAAGGATCTCCCATTATCCTGGAGAGAGCTGACAAAAGACACAGTAAAGCCAGGTGTCCTGGCCATCCCTGTTCATAGCAACTGGGATGCTTACTTGGTGAACAAAGTCCATAAGGAAAGAATGGGCTTTCATCTTGTCTTCTAGCTGGTGAAGAATAATCAGTGATGTATTGCTAAACCCAGGAGCTTCTGTTGAAACACAGTAACAAAATCTAAACACATAACATACTGGCTTTACAATAATTATTGCTATTAAAATAAAAAGTTAAAAAATACACCAAAGGAAACTACCAATCTTTTAATGCAACTATTTGTAACATTACCCAAGAGTTTAAAAAATTTAGAGGAAAATTTTGGGAATCATACCATATTTATTCAAAACACAAACCCTGTTATTGTTAGTTTAATCATTTATATCATTCCAAGCTTGCCAGCTCAAAATGAAGTCAAAGAAAAAAGGTAAGCACTGATGTTTCCTTCCTAACCCTCTAATGAGGTTTAGCAAACTTGCTAAGTAGGAATTGAGAGAGAGAAATGGACATTTGAGACTGTTTGCTGGTACCTGGGAATACCGAGTGCCCATGATGCTGCAGTGGAAGTGTGAGAAGGACAGTCACCCAGGGCAGAAAGGAAAGCACAGGGCAGAAACATGGTATGCCCACTTCTATACATTGAGATTTGCTCATTGCCACTCTCAGGGAAATGTATAATTTCTATTAGGCAAATACAGTGATTATACCAAAATTGTCATTTAATTTGGGAGTGAATAGGTGCCAAATGCTTACATATGCCACCAATTTCGTTTTAGATACAAAATGGTGAGAAAGCTAAGTAGGGCTAATTAATCTGCTTCACATAGAACAAGCAGGATTTGCTCCAATATTCCTTCAGTTTTTATCCTACAGATCTGTTCTGAGCCCTTTTCAAAATCTACTATAAATTATAACCTTTTAAAAAATAGTAAAATCATAAACTAAAAAAACATGCTTCGAGAGATGCTTTAATAAAAGAACTAGAATATTCTCAAAATAGATCAGTCCATAATATGAAAAGTAAAAGTTCTTACCCTCAGGGACAGACTCAGCCCATCGTGGGTCGGAGGCTGGGTAGTCATCCACCAGATCTACACTGATTTGGGTAACAGCTCTGTCTAGTTCACAGTCGGAATCCAAATCAGAGTGGGGTGAAAAGAGCTCATCAACCATCATTTGAGCATGACCTAGATCTTTTCTGAAATAAAATTGGAAAATAAAAGTATTAAAGGAGGCAAACCATTTTCAAAATTCACCATGAAAAAGTTAACTACAGGGGTGCCTGAGTGGCTCAGTCGGTTAAGTGTCTGCCTTCGGCTCAGGTCATGATCTTGGGGTCCTGAGATCGAGCCCCACATCCAGCTCTCTACTTAACAGGGAGTCTGCTTCTCTCTCCCTCTGCCTCTCCTCCCGCTGGTGTTCGCTCATGCTCACTCTCTCTCTCTCTCGTGCTCACTCTCCTCTCTCTCAAATAAATAAATAAAATCTTTTAAAAAAGAAAAAGTTAACTGGGCATTCCCCTATTTTAGTTGAGAGAGAGAATTTATTTAGTTGAGAGAGAGAAAGAGAACGAGCATGTGGGAAGGGGAGAGGGAGAGAATCTCAAGCAGACTCCCCGCTGAGTGCAGAGCCCCACATGGGGCCCAATCTCACCACCAGCAAGATCATGACCTGAGCGGAAACCAAGAGATGGATGCTCAACCAACTGAGCCACCCAGGTGCCCCAAAGTTAACTACTTTTAATAACATTTATTTAAAAGGGAGACAACTATTACGCCTTTATTAATTCAACAAATATATGTTGAGTACTTACAATATGCTAGGCACTGGAGGCAGAATGACAAGACATTAAAAAACACTCTAAGAGGGCGCCTGGGTGGCTCAGTTGGTTAAGCGACTGCCTTTGGCTCAGGTCATGATCCTGGAGTCCCAGGATCGAGTCCCGCATCGGGCTCCCTGCTCAGCGGGGAGTCTGCTTCTCCCTCCGACCCTCCTCCCTCTCGTGCTCTCTGTCTCTCATTCTCTCTCACAAATAAATAAAAATAAAATCTTTAAAAAAAAAACAAAACACTCTAAGACTTCACAAAGGATACAGTGTCACAAGGAGCAGAGAGTTAAACAAGTAGTTACATGTACACTGTGACAGAAAAAGAACAGAGCACTTGCTACAGAGCACACAGAAAGGAAACCAAAACTGTCTGAGGGGCAGGGAAAACTTCCTGGAGGAAGAGGTGCATAAGCAGAGGCCTACAACTAAGGAAGAGGAGCAGCGAGGCTGAGGGGACTATGGGGAGGGGTACACGGTGGCAGAGAGCACATGTCATACGTGTGAGTAAGTATGTCCATATCTTAGCAAAGAACTGAAGCCATGGGGAGGATGAGATCGCCCAGGAAAGAAAGAGGGAAGAAGGAGGGCAGACTCTCAGAAACACCACCAATTAAACGACAGAGGGGGCGCCTGGGTGGCTCAGTCATTAAGTGCCTGCCTTCGGCTCAGGTCATGATCCCAGGGTCCTGGGATCGAGCCTCACATCGGGCTCCCTGCTCTGTGGGAGGCCTGCTTCTCCCTCTCCCACTCCCCCTGCTTGTGTTCCCTCTCTCACTGTGTCTCTCTCTGTCAAATAAATAAAATCTTTAAAAAAAAAACCAAAAAACGACAGAGTACATAAAACCTCATACACCATGTTATGGAGTTCTAGGCACTAGAAGGCCTAAGAAGGCACTTCTCAGGCACTAAGAAGAAAGTGTCACTATCTGTTCTATTTTTCCCAAAAGATCATTTTATGATAAGGAAATAGGGGATTGGACAGGAGCGAGAAAAACCCAGTTAAGAAGTTATTGCAGAAATTCAGACAAGAGAAGAAGGGAGTCTCCACCAGCAATAGCTGCAGAGGAGAATGGAGACAAGTGACAGGTTTGGGGAAAAAAAGAGATATAAGGTAAATACTGGCAACTGCTTGGATCTGATATATTTTTGCTCTGAAACTGAATGGATTATGGTAGGACATTTTTGCCAGTGGCAGAAACAGGGGGTAAAAAAGAAAAGAATACGCTTCGGAGAAGACAAGCAGGGCTGTGGATATGTTGAAACTGAGATGCCTGTAGAATATACAACTGCTTTGGAACATTCTTCATTTGTATATAATGGCCTAGAGCATGGTAGATCAGTGTTTCTTTGGCAAATGAGGTCAAGGAAGGAGAAAAAAATCAGGGAGTAGAGAGAAAAATTATGATAGACAACAGCAAAGGTAGACAACTTTTCAGGCAGTTTCGTTATAAACAAGAACAAACAAAAGGGGTGGTAGATCAAAGGGGGACACAAAGTCAAAGACTGGTCTTTTTTTTTTAAGATTTATTTATTTGAGAGAGAAAGAGAGATCACAGTGAGGGGAGGGTCCGAGGGAGAGGGAGAAACCCAAGCAGACTCAGCACAGAGCATGGAGCTCAAAAGGGGGCTTCATCTCACAACCCTGAGGTCACAGGCTGAGCCAAAACTCAGAGTCAAACACTTAACCGACTGTGCCACCCAGGCGCCCTGCCCCTGTTTTTTTTTTTTTTTTTTTTAAATGAAACAGTAAATATGATTAATGGCTGGTGAGAAGAAGCCAGCACAAAAGAGGTCAAAGATACAGAAGAGGAATAACAAAGAACATAGTCTCAAGAGAAGCAGAAGACTGTGGCATTCAAAACAAGAACAAAGAGGGGCGCCCGGATGGCTCAGTCAGTTAAGCATCCAACTCTTGATTTCAGCTCAGGTCGTGATCTCAGGGTTGTGAGATCGAGCCCCATGTCAGGCTCTGTGCTCAGCAGGGAATCTACTTGAGATTTTCTCTCTCCCTCTCCCCCTCCCTTCTCCTCGCTCGTGCACACACTCTCTCTCTAAACGTATAAATAAAATCTTTAAAACAACCAAAAAAGACAGGGATTCTTCTTAGAAAGAACACCCCTTCCTACTTTATAGGGAGCAAAAGAGGAGAAATAGCTGAGGCTCAGGTAAGTTTGTAGGTATTAAGTCCAGGGAGTTGCTATCTGATGGCTTCTATTATCTCTGTGAAGTAGGAGGCTGAGTCCTCTTGCTAGGTATGGGAGAAGAGGCAGAGAAATGGAAAAGGTGGAGGAGAGTTAGGAAAGCATTGAAATGGACTCTTGGTAGAACAAGAGAAGGAACTGAATAGAGAAACATAGAAAAACCACCTAAAAGTGTTAGGCCAAGCTGAAGCTAGAAACCTGGTTATGCTACAGGTTATGGGAATACAAAGTTGACTATAGCATGATAATCAATATAATTAACTATTTCAATTAACAGAATAAGTTTCTTAAAGCTCTCATGAGCAAAAGATCTTATATTTATATTGAGTCAAGTGAAAATCCAAATAATATAAGAATTAATTTCAAAGAAACCATGCCATAGAAATAGCAGTATTAGCCTCAGCAAAAAACTAAACACAGAACACTTTTGAGTGCAATCTACTCATTTCAACCCCCAGGGAGCATTTGGCAATGTCTGAAGATAATTTTGGTAGTCAACAGGTGGGGGAGGATGCTACTGGCACCAAGTGGGAAGAGGCCAGCGATGGCGGCTACACATTCTATGATTCACAGGAGAGCTCACAATAAAAGTGTATGGCTTCAAATGTCAACAGTGATGAGGTAGCAAAACCCTGCCTTAAAAGTATGATTCCACTTTTGAAGAGTCTAATTCTTTAGGACTATTAATAGATCCACACCACCCCAGAAATGGTTACTTGTTAACCTTACAGGGTAAGTTGAAGGCATAGCTGTGCTAGAGACCCATGACCCTATTCCTAAGGTTACTATACTCTCAGGACTTCAGGTCAGGGGATTCCTCTTCGTGCTTAATAATCTTCCCCTATAGAACATTTAGAAACGACTATATGGGGTTGAATAGCATCCCTCCAAATCGCATTCACCCAGAACCTCAGAATGTGACCTTATTTGGAAATAAGGTTTTTGAGTATATAATCAGTTATGATGAAGTTATACTGAATTAGGGTGGGCTCTAAATCCAATGACTGGTGTCACTATTAGAAGGACATGTAAAGGCAGACACATAGGGAAGAAGGCCATGTGGTAAGGGAGACAACTGGAGTGATCCATGTGCAAGCTAAGGAATGCTGATGATTGCCAGCAACCACCAGAAGCTAGGACAGAAGCAAGCAAAGATTCTTCCCTAGAGCCTTCAGAGGAAGCAGGGCCCTGCTGATACCTTGATTTTGGATTTCAGGACTCCAGAACTGTGACAGAATAAATTTCTATGAGGTCACCTGGTTTGTAGTGATTTGTTACAGCAGCCACAGGAAACTAATACAAGGACTACAGTAACTTGCTCCATGATCATTTAAATTTTGAGATGCCACAGGTCTGTCAAAATTGTTAAAGGACCAACTTGTGCAAGACAGGATCATAGTATTTTAATCCAAATCTTGGCAGTAAGACTGAACACCATGCAAGAGAGCAAAATTAAAAGAATATATATATATATTTTTATGATTTTACTTATTTATTTGACAGAGAGAGATACAGCGAGAGAGAGAACACAAGCAGGGGGAGTGGGAGAGGGAGAAGCAGGCCTCCTGCGGAGCAGGGATTCCGATGTGGGGCTCAATCCCAGGACCCTGGGATCATGACCTGAGCCAAAGGCAGTCGCTTAACGACTGAGCCACCCATGCGCCCCTAAAAGAATATATTTTAAAAACAGAATAAAAAAAATTGTCTAATGGTGCCCTCTTCTGAATGAGAAACTAAGCTCAGTAGATCATTATGATGGCACAGAATTATGTGCGTGTGTTTTTAAGATTTTATTTATTTGAAAGAGAGAGAGAGTGCACAAGCAGGGGGAGGAGCAGAGGGAGAGGGAGAAGCAGACTCCCCGGTGAGCAGGGAGTCTGATGCGGGGCTTGTTTGCAGGACCCTGGGATCATGCCCTGAGCCAAAGGCAGACACTTAACTGACTAAGCCACCCAGGCGCCCTGATGGCACAGAACTGTAAAACTTTACTGGCTATCCCTTCTGTGGGAGTGAGCTCCTATGCATCAAATACCACTATGAGTGGGAGACTATGGGATCACAAGCTGAGAACTGGGGGATATGGAGGTAGTAAACTCTGAATATAACTTTAAAACAAAGATCTGCCAGATAAACTAATGATCCTTCAGACAGTCCAACGGACACCCCACTCAACACTTCACAAAGGAAGAAACAAAATTCCAGAAATGTTAAGCAATCTGTCCAAAGCCTCACACAGCTACTTGGGGCACAGCAAAGGCTAGATCTCAAGTTTCCTTAGTGTTCATTCAAATGTGAATTTACTATACCTTTTAAGGAAGGTACAGGATATGCAGAATAAATGTCTAGGACAAACAAATGACTGAACTGGCTTTCAAACCAGAAGCATCAGGTCAGCAAGTGTAGCAAACTGAGTATCATTCCCCTTCCATATGCACACTCCCTATCAGCACCCTCCCATGGAGGGAGAGGGAGGGCTCATCCCTGTGACTTGTTATGGCCAATGGGATATTGGCAAATATGACCCAAGCAGAGATTTGAAAAGCACTTGTACACTGAGGCTTACTCTCTTGCAACTCCTGGAACCCTGAGATATGTAAACCTGCTAGATGATGACAGGGCACATGAGCAGAGAAATGACCAGAGCCCCCAAAATGTGAGCAAGTCTAGCCGGGATGGCTGGCAGCTGATCATGGACAGTGAATCCAGATGAGAACCATAAAATGGCCACCTGAGCCCAATCCCAAACAGCCAGACGGCAGAATCATGAGCTGTATTAAACGAGCCACTATGTTCTCTGGTGATTTTGTATGCAACAAAACCCAATGAATAGGCCAAGTCTATTTTCTTTATAACATCAATAAACCTTTGTATGCAACTTATTTGCCTTCAGAGTATACATAAAACATGCTTGCTAGATGTCTTTCATGATCACTATTTTTAACAGCACATTGTTATCCATTAAGTGGAGAGGGTATGTTACATCATGTTTTTCCTAGATTAACTGGAAGCCTCTTGTGGCTACCAAGTTCAGACTAAGTTTGTTAAAGCACTGAGAAGCTCAGAAAAACATTTTCTCTTTGGTGGCATCATTCCTCCATCTTGCTCCCACCAGTCCACAAATAAGTAGTACATATCAGTAAAATGTGTCCTCAGACATAAAATAAATTAAGCCATCATTTAAAAACTTTTCATACCTGCAGTATTGCAGAAAAGCAGCTTTTAACAATTTGGTTTTATCCTCCTGAGCAATGGTTTCATTCTTTGTAGAAGCCTCAAAAACCATACTCTGTCAAATAAAAAACTGTAATTTAGAGGTGAAGGTATCAGAATATACCGAATTGTTGGACTAAAAACCGGACCCACCTATGACAGCAACAACACAGACACATAAGCTATTTACCATGTTCTTCATATACCAGCAGTCTACTTAAGACATTTACTGCAACAAGATAAAATGGACTAAATGATCGACTAAAGTCTTATCAAAAAGGTATATAGAAGGGCGGAGCAAGATGGCAGGGGAGTAGGAGACCTGGATTTCCTCTGGTCTCAGGAATTCAGCTGGATAGGGATCAAACCACTCTGAACACCTACAAACTCAACAGGAGATCGAAGAAAAGAATAGCAACAACTCTCTGAACAGAAAAGCGACCACTTTCTGGAAGGTAGGATGTGCAGAGAACTGAATCCGAGGCGATATTCGGTAGGACAGATGGCGGGGGAGGGGGCCTCCATCAGCCACTTCTGGCAAGTGATAGGGCCGGGGAGCACAAAATCAGAAATTTTAGAAGTCGGCTCCACTAAGGGACGTCGCTCCAGTGGCTAAGCAGGGGGTGGAACCCTCGTGGGAGTGTGGTCTCAGGACCCTTGGGGTCACAGAAAGACCGGGGGTGCCTGAGTGCGGCAGAGCGCCCAGGTATCAGAGCAGAGAAGCCGGCTGCAGATGGAGCCGAGGCGCAGGCTCTCAGCTCGGGGTTGCTATAAACTGTGATCCGCGGCACAGTCGGGCCACTGCTCTTCCAGCAGGGACCCAACAAGCGGCAGATCCGGGGAGACTCCCCTTCCTCCCCTGGGAGGAGGGGCGCGGGAGTGCACTGCAAGGATCTGCTGGGTTTGGAGACTCCACATGGAGTCGGATGCCAGAGATAGAAACGTTCGGTCACAGGCCGGGTGAGCACAGAGTGCGGCTGGAGACCGGGGAGATGGGAGTGACTGACGGCTTTTCTCTGGGGGCTCACTGAGGAGCGGGGCCCGAGTTCTCGGCTTCTTTGGGGTGGAGATTGGGAGGCCGCCATTTTCACTCTCGTCCTCCCGGCCTCCGAAGCTGTACACAAAGCTTGCAGGGAACAAAAGCTCCTGAGAGCAAACCCGAGCAGATTACTTAGCCCAGACAGGACAAGGGCGGGGCAATTCCGCCTCTGGCAAAGACACTGGGAACCACGGCAACAGGCCCCTCCCCCAGAAGATCAGCAAAAACAGCCAGCCAAGACCAAGTTTACCAATCAATGAGAATAGCAGAACTCCAGCACTAGGGGAATAATGCACATAGAATCCATGGCTTTTTTACCATGATTCTTTAGTCTTTCAAAGTTAATTTTTATAACTGTCTTTTTTTTTTTGAAAATTTTTCCCCCTTTTTCAACCAACATCTTATCAATCCCTTTTTTAAAAAACATTTTTATTTTTCATTTTTAGAGTCATATTCTACCCCTTCATAGTAGTTACCCTTATTTTTGGCATCTATATATATAAGTTGTTCTCTCTTTAAAATTTTGAGATAGTTTCTTCTAACAGATCAAAATATACCCTAAATCTCTAATGTATGGTTTTGTTCTACTCTCCTGCCTGATCACATTCTCTCCCTTTTTTCCCCCTTTTTTTTTAAATCCTCTTCTTTTTTCAAACAACTTATCAATTCCTTTTATAAAATTTTTTATAATTTTCATCTTTACAGTCATATTCCATCCCTTCATCATATCAACCCTTATTTTAGTACATACATAAGTTTTTCTTTAAAATTTTGGGGGGCACTTTCTTCTAACAGACCAAAATACACCCAAAATCTAGTATGTGGCACTGATCTGTACACCAGCCTGATCATATTCTGTTTTTTTTGTTTTGTTCTGTTTTTGTTTTTATCTTTTTCTTTTTTCTTTCTTTCCCTTTCTTTTCCCCCGGCTTCAGGTCTTTTCTGATTTGTTTAGAGCATATTTTCTGGGAACATTGTTACCCTGTTAGCATTTTGTTCTCTCATTAATCTATTCTCCTCTGCACAAAATGACAAGACGGAAAAAATCACCTCAACAAAAAGAACAAGAGGTAGTACCGACTGCCAGGGACCTACTCAATATGGACATTACTACGATGTTGGATCTAGAGTTCAGAATCATCACTTTAAAGATACTAGCTGGGCTGAAAAAAGCATGGAAGTTATTAGAGAAACCCTTTCTGGAGAAGTAAAAGAACAAAAATCAAACCAAGTCGAAATCAAAAAGGCTATTGATGAGGTGCAATAAAAAATGGGGGCATTAACTGCTAGGATAAATGAGGCAGAAGAGAGAATCAGTGATACAGAAGACCAAATGATGGAAAACAAAGAAGCTGAGAAAAAGAGATAAACAACTACTGGATCACGAGGGCAGAATTCAAGAGCTAAGCGATACCATAAGACAAAACAACATTAGAATAATTGGGATCCCAGAAGAAGAAGAAAGAGAGAGAGGGGCAGAAGGTATATTGGAGCAAATTATAGCAGAGAACTTCCCTAATTTGGGGAAGGAAACAGGCATCAAAATCCAGGAAGCACAGAGAACCCCTCTCAAAATCAATAAAAATAGGTCAACACCCCGACATCTAATAATAAAACTTACGAGTCTCACAGACAAAGAGAAAATCCTGAAAGCAGCTCAGGAGAAGAGATATGTAACCTACAATGGTAGAAACATTAGATTGGCAACAGACCTATCCACAGAGACCTGGCAGGCCAGAAAGGACTGGCATGATATATTCAGAGCACTAAATGAGAAAAATATGCAGCCAAGAATACTATATCCAGCTAGGCTGTCATTGAAATTAGAAGGAGAGATAAAAAGCTTCCAGGACATACAAAAACTAAAGGAATTTGCAAACACGAAACCAGCCCTACAAGAAATATTGAAAGGGGTCCTCTAAGCAAAGAGAGAGCCTAAAAGCAACACAGACCAGAAAGGAACACAAACAATATACAGTAACAGTCACCTTACAGGCAATACAATGGCACTAAATTCCTATCTTTCAATAGTTACCCTGAATGTAAATGGGCTAAATGCCCCAATCAAAAGACACAGGCTATCAGATTGGGTAAAAAAACAAGACCCATTGATATGCTGTCTGCAAGAGACTCATTTTAGACCCAAAGACACCCCCAGATTGAAAGTGAGGGGGTGGAAAACCATTTACCATGCTAATGGACACCAAAAGAAAGCTGGGGTAGCAATCCTTATATCAGACAAATTAGATTTTAAACCAAAGACTACAATAAGAGATGAAGAAGGACACTATATCCTACTTAAAGGGTCTATCCAACAAGAAGATCTAACAATTGTAAATATCTATGCCCCTAACATGGGAGCAGCCAATTATATAAGGCAATTAATAACAAAAGCAAAGAAACACTGACAACAATACAGTAATAGTAGGGGACTTTAACACCCCCCTCACTGAAATGGACAGATCATCTAAGCAAAAGATCAACAAGGAAATAAAGACTTTAAATGACACACTGGACCAAATGGACTTCACAGACATATTCAGAACATTCCATCCCAAAGCAACGGAATACACATTCTTCTCTAGTCCCCATGGAATATTCTCCAGAATAGATCCTAGGTCACTAATCAGGTCTCAACCGGTACCAAAAGACTGGGATCATTCCCTGCCTATTTTCAGACCACAATGCTTTGAAACTAGAACTCAGTCACAAGAGGAAAGTCTGAAAGAACTCAAATACATGGAAGCTAAAGAGCATCCTACTAAAGAATGAATGGGTCAACCAGGAAATTAAAGAATTAAAAAAATTCATGGAAACCAATGAAAATGAAAACACAACTGTTCAAAATCTTTGGGATGCAGAAAAGGCAATCCTAAGAGGAAAGTATATAGCAATACAAGCCTCTCTCAAGAAACAAGAAAGGTCTCAAGTACACAACCTAACCCTACACCTAAAGGAACTGGAGAAAGAACAGCAAATAAAGCCTAAACCCAGCAGGAGAAGAGAAATAATAAAAATCAGAGCAGAAATCAATGAAATAGAAACCAAAAGAACAGTAGAACAGATCAACGAAACTAGGAGCTGGTTCTTTGAAAGAATTAACAAGATTGATAAACCCCTGGCCAGATTTATCAAAAAGAAAAGAGAAATAACCCAAATCAACAAAATCATGAATGAAACTGGAGAGATCCCAACCAACACCAAAGAAATACAAACAATTATAAGAACATATTATGAGCAACTCTGTGCCAGCAAATTAGATAACCTGGAAGAAATGGATGCATTCCTAGAGAGGTATCAACTACCAAAACTGAACCAGGAAGAAACAGAAAACCTGAACAGACCTATAACCACTAAGGAAATTGAAGCAGTCATCAAAAATCTCCCAAAAAACAAAAGCCCAGGGCCAGATGGCTTCCCAGGGGAATTCTACCAAACATTTAAAGAAGATTTAATACCTATTCGTCTGAATCTGTTCCAAAAAATAGAAATGGAAGGAAAACTTCCAAACTCGTTTTATGAGGCCAGCATTACCTTGATCCCAAAACCAGACAAAGACCCCATCAAAAAGGAGAATTACAGACCAATATCCTTTATGAACATGGATGCAAAAATTCTCACCAAAATACTAGCCAATAGGATCCAACAGTACATTAAAAGGATTATTCACTACGACCAAGTGGGATTTATCCCTGGGCTGTAAGGTTGGTTCAACATCTGCAAATCAATCAACGTGATACAATACACTAACAAAAGAAAGAACAAGAATCATATGATCCTCTCAACAGATGCAGAAAAAGCATTTGACAAAGTACAGCATCTTTTCTTGATCAAAACTCTTCAGAGTATAGGGATAGAGGGTACATACCTCAATATCATAAAAGCCATCTACGAAAAACCTACAGTGAATATCATTCTCAATGGGGAAAAACAGAGCTTTCCCCCTAAGGTCAGGAATGTGGCAGGGATGTCCACTATCACCACTGCTATTCAACATAGTTTTAGCAATCAGACAACAAAAAGAAATCAAAGGCATCCGAATCAGCAAAGAAGAAGTCAAACTCTCACTCTTTGCAGATGATATGATACTTTATGTGGAAAACCCCAAAGACTCCACCCCAACACTGCTAGAACTCATACAGGAATTCAGTAAAGTGGCAGGATATAAAATCAATGCACATAAAATGAGTGGCATTCCTATACACCAACAACAAGACAGAAGAAAGAGAAATTAAGGAGTCGATCCCATTTACAATTGCACCCAAAACCATAAGATACCTAGGAATAAATCTAACCAAAGAGACAAAGGATCTGTACTCAGAAAACTATAAAATACTCATGAAAGAAATTGAGGAAGACACAAAGAAATGGAAAAATGTTCCATGCTCATGGATTGGAAGAACAAATATTGTGAAGATGTCAATGCTACCTAGAGCAATCTACACATTCAATGCAATCCCCATCAAAATACCATCCACTTTTTTCAAAGAAATGGAACAAATAATCCTAAAATTTGTATGGAACCAGAAAAGACCCCAAATAGTCAGAGGAATGTTGAAAAAGAAAAGCAAAGCTGGCGGCATCGCAACTCCGGACTTCCAGCTCTATTACAAAGTTGTCATCATCAAGTCAGTATGGTACTGACACAAGAACAGACACATAGATCAATGGAACAGAATAGAGAGCCCAGAAATGGACCTTCAACTTTATGGTCAACTAATCTTCAACAAAGCAGGAAAGAATGTCCAATGGAGAAAAGACAGTCTCTTCAACAAATGGTGTTTGGAAATTTGGACAGCCACATGCAGAAGAATGAAACTGGACCATTTCCTTACACCACACACAAAAATAGACTCCAAATGGTTGAAAGACCTCAATGTGAGACAGGAGTCCATCAAAATCCTAAAGGAGAACACAGGCAGCAACCTCTTCGACCTCAGCCGAAGCAACTTCTTCCTAGAAACATAGCCAAAGGAAAGGAAAACAAGGGCAAAAATGAACTATTGGGACTTCATCAAGATAAAAAGCTTTTGCAAAGCAAAGGAAACAGTCAACAAAACCAAAAGACAACTGACAGAATGGGAGAAGATATTTGCAAATGACATATCAGATAAAGGGCTAGTATCCAAAATCTATAAAGAACTTATCAAACTCAACACCCAAAGAACAAATGATCCAACCAAGAAATGGGCAGAAGACATGAACAGACATTTTTCCAAAGAAGACATCCAAATGGCCAACAGACACATGAAAAAGTGCCCAACATCGCTCGGCATCAGGGAAACCCAAATCAAAACCTCAATGAGATACCACCTTACACCAGTCAGAATGGCTAAAATTAACAAGTCAAGAAATGACAGATGTTGGCAGGGATGCAGAGAAAGGGGAACCCTCCTACACTGTTGGTGGGAATGCAAGCTGGTGCAGCCACTCTGGAAAAGCCACCATATGATCCAGCAATTGCGCTACTGGGTATTTACCCCAAAGATACAAAAGTAGGGATCCGAAAGGGTACGTGCACCCCGATGTTTATAGCAGCAATGTCCACAATAGCCAAACTGTGGAAAGAGCCAAGATGTCCATCGACAGATGAATGGATAAAGATGTGGTCCATATATACAATGGAATATTATGCTGCCATCAAAAGGAATGAGAGCTTGCCATTTGCAATGACATGGATGGAACTGGAGGGTGTTATGCTGAGCGAAATAAGTCAATCAGAGAAAGACATGTATCATATGACTTCACTGATATGAGGAATTCTTAGGAAACAAACTGAGGGTTGCTGGAGTGGGGGGTGGGGTGGGAGGGATGGGGTGGCTGGGTGACAGACACTGGGGAGCGTAGGTGCTATGGTGAGCACTGTGAATTGTGCAAGACTGTTGAATCACAGATCTGTACCTCTGAAACAAATAATGCAATAAATGTTAAGAAAAAAAAAAAAAGAAGATAGCAGCAGGGGAAGAATGAAGGGGGGGGAACCGAAGGGGGAGACGAACCATGAGAGACGATGGACTCTGAAAAACAAACTGAGGGCTCTAGAGGGGAGGGGGGTGGTAGGATGGGTTAGCCTGGTGATGGATATTAAAGAGGGCAGGTTCTGCATGGAGCACTGGATGTTATGCACAAACAATGAATCATGAACACTACATCAAAAACTAATGATGTAATGTATGGTGATTAACATAACAATTAAAAACAAAGCTAAAAAAAAAGGTATATATAACCACAGGAATCCTGAAAAATAAAAAACTGGAGGAGGTATCACAATCCCAGATACCAAGTTATACTACAAAGTATGCTTGTGTTCCTGCTCTCGCTGTCTCTCTCTCTGTCAAATAAATAAATAAAGTCTTTAAAACAAAACAAAACAAAACAAAAGGACCTAAATGTGAGAACTGAAACCATAATAATCCTAGAAGAGAGCAAAGGCAATAATTTCTCTGACACTGGCTGCAGCAACACTTTTCTAGATATAATAAATGCCAATCAAAACCACAACGAGATATTACCTCACACCCGTCAGAAAGGCTAAAGTCAAAAACAGAAGAAACAGTAAGTGTTGGCGAGGATATGGATGAAAAAGGAACCACTGTACACTTTTGGTGAGAAGGTAAACTGGTGCAGGCTCTGTGGAAAACAGTATGGAGATTGCTCAAAAAATTAAAAAGAGAATTATCATATGATCTAGTAATTCCACTACTGGGTATTTACCCAAAGAATACAAAAACACTAATTCAAAAATATATTATGAACTCCTATGGTTATTGCAGCACTATTTACAATAGCTAGATTATGGAAGCAGCCTAAGTGTCCATCAATAGATGAATGGATAAAGAAGATGTGATATATACATACAATGCAATATTACTCAGCCATAAAAATGAATGAAAGTTTGCCATTTGCAACAACATGGAAGGATCTAGAGAGTAAAGGCTAAGTGAAATAAGTCAGTCAGAGAAAGACAAATACCATATGATTTCACTCATAGGTGGAATTTATTTTTTTTTAAAGATTTTTATTTATTTATTTGATAGAGACACAGCAAGAGAGGGAACACAAGCAGGGGCAGTGGGAGAGGGAGAAGCAGGCTTCCCGAGGAGCAGGGAGTCCGATGCGGGGCTTGATCCCAGGACCCTGGGACCATGACCTTAGCCAAAGAGAGACACTTAACAACTGAGCCACCCAGGCGCCCCTCATATGTAGAATTTAGGAAACAAAGTAAACAAAGAAAAAAAAAAGAGACAAAGTAAAAAATAGACTCTTAACTATAGAGAAAAAACTGGTGGTCACCAGAGGGGGGAGGTGAGTGGGGGATGGGTGAAATAGGTGAAGGGGATTAAGAGTGCATTTATCATAATGAGCACTAAGTAATTTATACAATTATTGAATCACTACATTATATACCCGAAACTAGTATAACAATGTATGTTAACTACACTGGAATAAAAATAAAAATAAAAATAAAAATAAATAATATGGATTGACATACAATTTTTTTAAAAAAGATATATATAATTCAGGGATTATATTTTGAGTAAAATTATCTGGGGGTTTCATCATAACCCGTGCAACCTTTTATAGGTTTGCTCTTACACAATTCATTTCATTGTGTATTACTAAGAATAATGGTTGATTTCAAACTCAAACAAGGATTTAGAAAAAATTTTAAAGAAGAATAACACAGCTTCAGAATATAAGGCAATATTATAAAAATCAAATGACTACAAAGGAATAAAAGTAAAAAAAATTGTTACTTTCTGTTGAAACTATCATTTTAATTTTGAATTATAGAAATAGTCTATATAGGGCGCCTGGGTGGCTCAGCTGTTAAGCGTCTGGCTTCAGCTCAGGTCATGATCCCAGGGCCCTGGGATCATGCCCTGCATCGGGCTCCCTGCTCCGTGGGAAGCCTACTTCTCCCTCCCCCACTCCCTTTGCTTTTGTTCCCTCTCTCGCTGTGTCTCTCTCTGTCAAATAAATAAAATCTTAAAAAAAAAAAAAAAAGAAATAGTCTATATAGTCCACATTCTATTCAAGTGTAAATTACCCCAAATGATATTATTTTTAGTCTCCTGTAAGAGAATGATACAAATCTCTAGATCAGGGTATTTCATTTTCAACATGAGAGAAAAAAAAAAATGTTTTTTTTTTCCCACTCTCCCTGTCAAAATCATCCCACAATAGCAAGAAGTGCAACCACCTGAACACCTGTGATTCCAACTACAACACATGAAGATGGAAACCAGAAGGAATGGCAATGACAGAGCAGAGAGGGACAAGCAAACTGGTGTGTGTGGTGCAGAGACAGGTCCTGGTGGGGATTTGTGGACTATGAAAAGGAAAGTTCCAAGATGACAGTAGAAGCAGAGTTTCTAGAGATTTGACTATGGGGAAAACCATACTGACAGGCATTTAAAGAGCTCCTGGAGGCTGTGAGAAGTTGGGCCAGATATTAAAGAAGAGTGAAAGCAAATATAAAATTAGTCCATTAAACACTCCAAGAGTCACATAAAGCTGAGTAATGAAGGAAATGTAATCAGCATATTACTTGACTCAGTGAACCATAAGTAATATTCACACTGTCATTAAAGGAAAAAAATTTATAGGGGGATGATAAAGGCAGAGGGAGGACTATAAGTTACCCTAAATCCTTATCTTCTGTAATAGGAAATCAACAGATGTCTAATATTGGTGAATTAAGAGATGGCAACACATGATATTACTTAGAAATATGGAGAAAAATACCAGCAGAAACAGCTACAAGACTTAAAAGGAGCTACTTCTGGAAAGGAGGACAAAGGAGATGAGGGAGGTAAAAGAATTATGTTTTCATCACAACTCTTTTAAAACTGTTAAACTAAAACATTTGTGGGAAATAACCCTGATAAAAATCTTAAAATCTTATGGAACCACATTACCTCATTGCTGGGTCCAGCAACTGAAGATGCTAGGGAATCTTCAAGATCTTCTGCTAATATGGACACACCTTCCCTTGAAGTAATAGACACCAACCCACTGTTTCTAGAAAAAAGGATAGGAAAACCACCGCAGGAACCAGCTCCTAAAATACTGTCTCCTAAAAGAAAGAAAAATACACAGACATACATAACAAAAAAATGCTTTCTAAAATCTACCGCCCTAAGCAGAGAATCATCTTGATACACTAAAAACTTTTTTTTTCCCTTTACAATATTCCTCCTACTTTGAACTCAGCTTTTTAATTCCAAATCAAATGTCAGGAACGTCTTGCTATTTGAAATAGCAGGCTCTGTGTCCTTCAGTTTGGGAAATAAAAACTAGCCTTCCAAATAGCAGTGAGTATAATAAACCAAAAAGAAAATTATTCATTCTGCAAAACTCAGAATGACAGCTTTTTCAATCCAGTGGAGTCCTCTTGCCCTCTTTCTATCTTTATGTATTAAGTAGGTCAATGGAGAAGGGAGGAAAAGTCTCAGCTTGCTCAATTCCTTATTAACATTCTCCCTACCCAAAGTCAAGGCTCTTGCGTTGAAACTAGAAAATCTAGGTTCCATCCTGTTGCCTCACTTGGATTTTGCCCTCTGTCCGATCTCTTTAGATAAAAATCCTGATTAAACTGCCTGCTTGGCTTTTTTTTCACTCCTGGCTGACTCCCCCCACCCTCTGCCGTCATTCCAGCCCCCTTGCATGAGTCCAGCACCTGGGATTCTTCTTAGCTAGGGGTCTGGACAAACTTACTTAAAGAACATCATCTCAGAATAAATTGGCCTAACCAGGAATAAGCAATTACTTTTCTTAGTGTCAGAGTTTTGCTTCCTGGCCTCTTATGGGGGAAAACATTACTATTTTTTTGACCATAAATATAACAGTTTGGGAATTGGTATTTCAGTAGGGTTGTGACTTCAGCTACTACTGCTCTGGTACTGACTGTCTCAATAACACCTGGAGGCATGTTTAAAACAACACTTACAGAAAGAGAATAAAAACTGCTAAGAATGACTAACGAGTCATTAATCATCCTTTCTGAAACTGATACTGTACCTTGTGTATTAAAGACAATTTTCTCCCGAGGGAGAGAAAACTTCCCAGTTCCTGTGGCACACACATAGACAGCACTTTCAGTATACAGATAGGCAGTCTGATTTGAAAAGTTTGGGACCATCAACCGACACATGATCAAGTCTTCAGACTGAAAAACATCAGATTACATTTAATGGTAATTAAAACAAAAATACTTGTTTGTGTAATTTTGTAATTTATATTTTTATACACTATCTCATAAAAGTGATAAAATAATTCAGACTGTCCTCGTCAAAACCTAAACACTAGATGATTTACAAAATATGACAGGGTAAGTTTATAAACATCAATTAAGAGAAATCATTTGTCGAGTTGTAAATAATCAGCAAATTTTGAAAATTCCATGGTGGTTAAGATTTTAACTAAAAGCCTATAAAAAATGTCAGAAAAAAAGATTAATTTATTATTGATTTAAAATTGGCAAATACTTTATAAGTGACCCCTGGTGAACATTTTGGTTCTTACTTCACTGTGAAGATATCAAGCACAAGAAAATTGAGTTAATTTGTTTATAGATAAAATCAGAAGCAGAAATAGAAATATGACCTAATTAAATGAAATCAGCAAATGTTAAAAATATATACTGTTTGTTATTAAAGAAGTAATTTTATTTCTTTACACCTCTTTTGCATTGCCTGACAAATCTTAACACTGAGCATGTTTTTCTTGCATAATCAGAACTATAAGGTTTGTTTGAAACAAAAGGACAAATTAAACGATTTCCTTACAGTATTTAGTTATAGTCATATTAAGAATAAAGACTTAACAAAATTACATACTATACTATATAAGGCTAAATGAAATGAATTTACAGTTAAGCTTTTCCTTATGAACATCATCATTATTCAACAATATTTACAATATTAAACAACTGCTTGCTATCAGCTGCTTCCACTCTCATCTCTCTTTAGCTAAGGCTGTGCAAAGGAATGAGCCTCAGATGGCAAACAAAATGCAATGCCTAAAAACCAGCTATTTAAAAATATTTCCAAGCCCTACAGGTGAATCTCTCAAAAGAACCTGACCCTACAACGGTTAGGACAAACAATTCAGTACGTTATTGTCATTTGTAATTTAATTTACAGATAGAAATCTTACCTGAAAAGGTGGATTATACTGAGTGACTTCTACAGTTACCGCATCAGACATTTGGTGGCCATTATCTTCTACTGTTATCAGAGAGTAATAGATGAGACATGGATTGTCTGCTGGGTGCCATGCGGCTGCCAAAATCAGGAGCCCATCACTAATCAATGAAAAAGAAAGATCTGCAGCCTCTTGGAAGTCAGTTTGTCAGTTTCTTATAAACAGATACTAACCACATGACCTAGCAATCCCACTCCTAGATATTTAAAAATAAAAACTTACGTTCACACAAAAACCTGTGTGCAAATAGCTATAGTGGCTTTATTCATAATTACCTAAAACTGGAAGCCCAATATCCTTCAACTGCTTAATAGATAAATCCTGGTAATTTTTTTTTAAAGATTTTACTTATTTGAGAGAAGAGAGTACAAGTGGGGAGAGGGGCAGAAGGAGAGAAAGAATCCCAAGCAGACTCTGAGCTGAGCACGAGCCCAATGCGGGGCTCAATCCCATGGCCCTGAGATCATGACCTGAGCTGAAATCAAGAGTCGGGACATTTAACTGACTCAGCCATCCAGGCGCCCCAAGCTCTGGTAATTCTACAGAGTGTGCCACTACTCAGCAGTAAAAAGGAAGAAACTATTGAAGGCACATCAAATGCATTATGCTAAGTGAAAGAAGCCAGTCTCGAAAGACTTTATACTGTATGATCCCATTTATAGGGCATTCAGAAGAAGGCAATGTAGTTTAACCACAGGGACTGAAAACACATCAATAGTTGCCAGCGGTTGTGAAGGAGGGTTTGATTACAATGGGACATGAGGAAATTTTGGGGGTGATGGAACTATTCCATATCGTGATTGTGTCTTACAGTCCAATGAGTCTGCATTTGTCAATTAATTAAATTATACACTAAAACAGGTGAATTTTACTGTATATAAAATACAGCTCAATAAATCTGACTTTAAAAAAAGATCAACAAATCATCAAATGCAGGACCGGCAAAGCATAGCCCTCAGGCCAAACTGTGCCCAAGTGAGTTTTTATAAATGAAGCTTTACTGGAATACAGCCATGCCCACTCATTTCTGTATTGTCCATGGATGCTTTCATGCTATTATTGATAAGAGTAGAATAGCTGCAGTGAAGACCACATGCCCTCAAAGCCTAAAATAGTTTGGGGCCCTTCAAAGAAAGGCTGCCAAACCCTGACCTAATCTGTTCTTTAAAGCTTACTTTGGTCCGGAGGAACATTTTGTTTCTACTTTTAACAATCAGTTATAGAAACTTCAATGTGAAAACAAACATTTTTCTATCTTAAAGCTTATATGTTTCTCTTAAGTCTATCAAAATTGTTGCCCTCGGGGCGCCTGGGTGGCTCAGCCGTTAAGCATCTGCCTTTGGCTCAGGTCATGGTCCCAGGGTCCTGGAATCGAGCCCCACACCAGGCTGCCTGCTCCGCAGGAAGCCTGCTTCTCCCTCTCCCACTCCCCCTGCTTGTGTTCCCTCTCTCACTGTGTCTCTGTCAAATAAATAAAATCTTAAAAAAAAAAAACAAACCTGTTGCCCTCAACAAAAAATTAAATGGTCTCTAATCTCAACCCCTCCAAAACATTCAGTAGTATTTACTATCGGCAACTTTCAAGTCTCAGAAATATTAATGGGGGGCAAGCGCCCTCTACTGACAACTAAAAACAAGAAACAGAAAAAAAAAAAAAAAAAATGAAACCCAGCTAGTGACTAAATGACATCACTCCAAATCAAGCAATCCTAACATGGCTCTCATTTCTTTTTCCACTGTGATCTTCACCCAGCTCCTGGACTCTTATCATTTCTACTTGGACTCTTGAAAGGACTCCAAAAATACTGGCCCAAACTTGTAACATACTGGCAGTGACCTAAAGAGCTAATACAGGATATAGAAGAATGTTTTGCATAAAAAGGAACTAATAGATTAAAGACCTAAATGTGAGATCTGAAACCATAAAACTCCTAAAAGCAAACACAGGCAGTAATCTCTTGGACATCAGCCTTAACAACATTATTTATGGATATGTCTCCTCAGGCAAGCAAAACAAAAGCAAAAGCAAACTCTTGTGGCTACACCAAAATAAAAAGCTTTTGCACAGTAAAGGAAACTATCAACAAAACAAAAAGGAAACCTACTGAATGGAATTTCAAAAGTGATATATCTGATAAGTGGTTAATATCTAAAATACGTAAAGAAGTTACACAACACCACCAAAAAAACCCCAAACAACCTGATTTAAAAATAGGCAGAGGCCATGAATAGATGTTTTTCTAAAGAAGACATACAGATGGCTAACAGACATGTGAAAAGATGCTCAACATCAGTATTCATCAGGGAAATGCAAATCAAAACCACAATGAGATATCACCTCACACCTATCAGAATGGCTAAAATAAAAAGGACAAGAATTAACAAGTGCTGGTGAGGATGTGGAGAAAAAAGGAGCCCTCACATTCTGTTGGTGGGAATGCAAACTGGTGAAGCCACTGTGGAAAACAGTATGGAGGTTTCTCAAAAAATTAAAAATTGAAATACCATATAATCTAGTAATTCCATTACTGGGTATTTATCCAAAGGAAACAAAAACACTAATTTGAAAATATATATGCACCCCTATGTTTACTGCAGCATTATTTATAACAGCTGAGACATGGAAACAACCCCAGTGCTCATCAACGAAATGAATGGATAAAGATATAGTACACACACACACACACACACACACACACACACACACACTGGAATATTACTCAGCCATAAAAAAGAGATTTTTACCATTTGTGACAAAATGGATGGAACTAGAGGGTATTATGCTAAGTGAAATAAATCAGACACAGAAAGAAAAATACCATATGACCTCCCTTATATGTGGAATCTTAAAAACAAAACAAATGAACAAACAGAAAAACAAAAGACTCTTAGTTGCCAGATGGGAGATGGCTGAGGGGATAGGCAAAATAGATAAAGGGGATTAACAGGTACAAATTTCCAGTTACAAAATAAACAGGTCAGAGATGAAAAGTATAGCCAAAAAGACAAAGACAAACAAAAAAAGAAACCAAGTGAGGTCCCAGAGAATGTGGTCTTCAATGTACCAAGGAGACAGGCAGAGTTGATTATACCTAGGATAAGGCTCTGTATTGAAGTTACTCTAAAGACTACCATGGGGGTGCCACTGAGTCATGGAGACATGTCTAACAAATAGAATTCCTTAGAGAGTGGTGCTAGACCAGTTTTATTTGACATCTTTATAAAAACATCCTCACATTTAAAAAAAAAACATGAAGCAATTTTAGGTAGCAGAGATGACAGGTAGATAATCTAAATTTTGCAAACTAGTAAAAATTTAACAATAAATTTTTACATGACTATATACAAGATAATATACTTAAGACATAAAAAATCCAATTTCACATCTAAAACGAGGCTATCTGAGCTCAGTAATAATCTAGTAAAAGAATTTATAAGCCTGTTCCCTGAAAATATATGCCTAGGTTGCAAACCCGGCTAAAACGAGCAAAAGATCAAGGAGCATCAGTGAGCATCAGGAAGACAAACCCTATTCTTAAACAGAAGAAAGGTGCAGATATGGACACTCTGTATGGATCACTAGGAGAACAAGAGCTGTGTCTCATAAGCCCCACAAGCATCTTGTTAGCATGACAACAATGAGGGAGAGGAGCCTGGTCTCTGACCCAGTCCAGCAATTCTTAAGCACGCTTCTCTTCTCTTTTTAGTCCACATCTCCATTCTGAAAACTATGTGAAAATGTCTGCATCATATGCCCACGTGGGCTGTGTCCTAGCAGCAGTTCTAAATTTCTGAAAGTCTGGTAAAGATACATGAAAACACATAAACTATATTTAATTAAGCCACTTATGGAAATTAAATATATACTATTATTTTTACTTCTTTGATAGTTCCTATAAGGTTTTCAGAAACTATAAAGAAGGATCTTACTGACATTCTCAAGAGCCTAAGAAAAATTATATAGCAGAACTGCAATATCCTTCCAAAAAACAAGTAGAATTTGTTCTACTAAATAAACTAAATTACTCTAAAACATATAAAAATTGCTCTTAACTTCTAGTAAGTTGTGTTTTGAAGAATGACAAGTCATATATTTGTACTCATTATGAACTTTCTCATGGAAGCCATGTTACAAATGGTTTTTAAGTTCCATATGACCTTTGGTATTAAAACTAAATAATAACACAGGATAAATTAACTTTATCAGACTAACCTAGGATCTTAAGCGCCACTTGGAGCATTGTCTCTAAAAGGAAATTCACTGTGAATACAAACCCTGAGTGAGTTCTCACTTGTACTGCCAAGACAAAACCTCACCCTACCTTCCCTTCTTCTATATCACCACAAACATAGGCTTACTAAAGCAAAAGGGCTGGAGAAGTATGTCTAGTATCTCCACTGAGAAGGGAAGGATGGCAGCATGGAGTACACACAGCAGCAGGGAGGGCATCTCTCAGTGTGAAGAAAGAGAAGCTCCAGCCATGAGAGCAGGAAAGATGAGTCTTGAACTAGGGCAGACAACTAATATAAGAATATGCAGCTGAAAGCTGAGAACTGCCTCTATTTCTCAAATGAACCAGCATCTCTAGAAAAGGACACAAAACCATTTAGTAAGGTATAAAAGTATGATGAGAATAGCACTAGAAGAACAATAGCAAGACTGCTCATCATTCTACAATAAACATTATTTTTCCAAACAACTACCTATACTCTTGATGACAAACTAATTGCTTACCAGTTTTGCTTCAAATCCAAATACCGAATGTTGACCCCTTCTTTAATAGCTTCGTAGTTACTTTCAGATCCCTATATGAAAATATCAATAACATAAGCTCCATGAGTGTAAGGATCATTTCTTTTCACCTTTGTATTCCCAGCACCTACTGAACAGTTCAAATAGTTACTGAATAAATAATATATGCATTTTAAAAACTACTAAGTGAATCAGTGAGCTCCAATATTTCTAGGGGTTGAACGCCCTATTTCTGCTTATCTGATTGCTAAAAGCTACACTGCATTGAAATATGTTCTAATAAATAAAACAATTAAAGAAATGAGCATTCTCATATACTCAAAAGTGTGAATTACAAAGATGAATATTATTTTTCCTTACCCAAATAGCATCAGTAATGTTTTCCTTAAGGGCTCTATTTATATCCCAACTATGTGCTTGTTTTTCTGAAGAATCATCTAATTCCCATTTACTGATGTTTGAACTTGTCAGGCTATAAAAGCTTGCTCTCTCTCTATCCCAAAGGACACTTGAAAGCTGTATGGAGAGGAGAGAAAAAAAAAGTTACGTTTATAGATTTTTAAGTTCTAATGTGAATGAACTACTTTTCTGAAACTCAAATTTGATATATTTTATAAGTATTCCATTAGTAATCCTAGCGGAATTCTTTGTTTAGTATTCAAATAAAGGAGTGATCCTAAAATGGACCTTGAAGGCAAGGTAAGATTTCCATAGGCAGAAATACAAAAGCAGACAGCCCACAAAGAGTATAGTTGTGGGAAAGTTATAAGGTCTTTCAGAGAACAACAAGTAGTCCTGTTACATTGGAATGTAGACTATAACTAGAAAAGAAGTAGAAATAATGCTCAAATGAAAAATTAGGGACACGGAGCAAAGTCCTGAATGTGAGTTTGTAAACCCAGTAAACAAGATATTATCAATGGCTTCTGAACTCAAGAGCTGTGTTATAGGAAAACGAAAATGGTAGATTTGTAGACAGATTATTTCACCTTTTCAAGTATATATTTGGTTATGAAGTACAGTTATGTTTTTAGTTGGGCACACGACTATTTTGAGTTAAAGCCCTAATCTTCTCCATTTCTCCTGTCACCATGTTTCTGGCCACTAATGGGATAAGGGAGCCAACAGAGAGTAAATTGAACTGGCACCAAGAGCTTAGGGGAAATTTACCAAGAGTGCAGATTAGGGCTTAACAATGGAAGTAAAAGATAGGGATGAAAATGAGACATGACAGAAGTCAAATCTATAGTGCCTGGTAAGTATGGAATTTGCTATAGCTGGGGAGACATACACAAACACATACACAATGAAGAGTTTATACCGGGGTCACTGAAAAAAGTGACAGGTCATGAACAGAAATAAACAGGCCAAAAGAGAAATGAGTTTTATACACACTTTCGGTGTAGAAAATGTGAGAGAAGAGGGAATATGAGCAATTTGTTTTTAGACATGTTAGGCTGTAGGTTTGAAGACCATCAAGAAAGCAGATGATGAGAGCAACCTCAATTAGAAGGAAACAGCACAGGGGCGCCTGCGTGGCTCAGTTGTTTAGCTTCTGCCTTCAGCTCAGGTCATGGTCCCAGGGTCCTGGGATCGAGCCCCGCATCAGGCTCCCTGCTCGGCAGGAAGCCTGCTTCTCCCTCTGCCACTCCCCTTGCTTGTGTTCAGGCTCTCTATCTCTCTCTGTCAAATAAATAAATACAATCTTGAAAAAAAAAGAAGGAAACAGCACAGTGAGAAGAAAATGTGCTTTCAATCAAAGAGGTTGGGCACGTATCTGCCATGGAGTAGTTGTGCAACCTCAGGCAGTTTACATAAATGTCACTGAGGTTATTTCCTCATCTGCAAACTGGGGAGAAAGCGCTCTACGTTACAGGTCATCATATTACTCGAGATAACAAATATAGAGCCCCTAGCAGAGAGTAGATGCTCCAGGTTCACTCCCATCTGCCTCCCTTCACTATTCCAGAGCCTGAGGCAGAAGCCCAGCTGACAGATCTAGATTTGAGTCATCCACACAAATAGCCAGAGTCATGGGAGTGGAGAACACACTTTTGGTTAAGTCAAAAAGCAAAACTGGTCCTTAAACACATTTGTAATTTTATATAACAGTTTTAATTCAAAGAATGTACATATAAGAGAATCTGTATGATTTAAGAATATTAAAGTTACAGGGTTTGTGAGAGGATTAGTATGAACTCATTTGATCACAATAAAAATGCTTCACTGAAAAGATCTAAAGTTTTACTTCATATACGCTAGTGTTCATACGGAGGCAATACCAACTTCGTAGGAAACTTTCAACTTACTGATTTCATGAAGAAACAAGCTTGTAAAACAAAATCATTTTATCAACTTACGATGAGATCACTACTTGGAGATAAAATTCCCAAAAGAGAAGAGACCTTCCGACCAATTCCTGAAAGCATGCCTTGTCCTTGAGGCAGAACGTGTTGATGAATCTTTCCTAAACTATCAGGTATCAGCCGAACCATCTGGCTTCCCAATGAGGACAAAATAAAACTTCCTCCCTATGAACAAATATTGTAAATAAGTTATGCATCTATAAGATAAAGAACATTAACACAAAATGCTTTGATACAGAAACAAATCATCTATCATCTGTACCTTAAAACAAATCTAAAAGAATAAAAAAAGAGTCATTTTACTAAAATGATTTAATTATGAATACTATTACATAATACTAATACGTGATACTATTAATTCTACATAGAGAAACTTTGGTTGTTTTTTAATTGAGTGGTTTTTTTTAATTCTGATTTTTAAACTGTAGGTTCACCACATTGCAGGTTCAACAAATCAAGTATCACATTTTGGTCTTTGGTAAACTTGCGAAGTGTACATTAGCAAGCCATTTTTCATAATGTCTAAGGGTTTCTAAGTCACTGTCAGAAAATGTTTCTGAAAGAAACGAATACCATGGGCTACGACCTAATATTGGTATTTCAGAGTCCTAGAAGGGCTTTCCTTTGTCAAACTGTTCAACTCCTAGACCCTTACATTCTTCTCTTGCCTCTTTTTGATCCCTCTCTGGCCTGTGTGGTCTATCCAAAACAATTTTTAGTCATTCACATATCACTCCCAAGCCAAATCACAGCTTTCCAATAAATATGAAAGAAAACCCATCATATACCTGCACTGCTGTTAGGAAACTGTAAGTCTTATCACCTCCCAAATCTACAAAGGTCTCTGTGTAGATATCTTCACCAGCAAGGCTTGGCCAATAGCGGATGGATCCTTCTCTGGTGGCAACCATGACAGCAACAGCCTTGAAACAAGATCATAACACTCGGCAATCACAGTAAAAAGGACCCTGAAACTGGGAGTCTGGTGACACCGATAAGAAGAAACTAGGGGAATTTACTATTTAACATAAATTAGGGGGGACAAAACCCCTCCTTTTTATATTTTAAAAATTATCAGACTATAAATTGACTTTCTTTTCCTTTTGTTGTGCAGTTCTATTAATTTTAACACTTGTATAGACCCATGTAACTACCACCAATATAGGGACACAGCACAGTCCCGTAAACATCCCAAACTCCCTAGTGCTAACTATCCCTTAATAATCACATCTTTCCCCCATCTTAACCCCGGTAACCAGTTTCCATTATTATAGTTTCGTCTTTCTGAGAATGTCAAGCAAGTGAAATCATATAGAATGTAACCTTTAAGCACTGGCTTATCTCACTTCAGCATGTCTTTGAGATGCATCTGGGTTGTTGCTGTATTAAGAGTTCATTCCTTTTTTACTGTTGAGTAGTATTCCATTCTGCGGATGAAACCCGTTTGTTTATTCATTCACTTGTTAAAGGACATTTGGGTTATTTCCACCTTTGGCTATCACAAATAAAGCTGTTATGACATTCATATACTGTTTTTTGTGTAAACTTAAGTTTTAATTTCTATGAGGTAAACAGCCAGGAATGGAATTGTTGGGTCATAATGGCAAGTGTCTTTCAACTTCATTGGAAAGCGAAAATCAAGTAGCTGTACCATTTTGCATTCCCATCAGCAATGTATGAGTTCTAGTTGCTCCACATCCTTGCCAGCACTTGGTGGTGTCAGTATTTTGTATTTTAGCCATTGTAATAGGTGTACTGTGATATCTCACTATTGTTTCAATTTGCATTTCCCTAACGGCTAATGATGTGAACATCTCTGTAATACCTTATATCTTCTTTGGTAAAGTATCTGTTCAAGTCCTGTGCCCTGTTTTTAAATTGGGTTGTTTTCTTATTAAGCTCTGAGAGTTCATTTTACATTCTAGATACAAGTTCTTCGTAGGATATGGCTTATGAATATTCTCTCCCAGTCTGTAGCTTGTCTCTTGTTCTTGTCACTGTCTTTGACACAGCCAAGTTTTTAATTTTGAGGAAGTCCAATTTATTTTTTTCTTTTATGAATCATGCTTTTGGTGATTTCCAAGAACTCTATGTTTAACCCCAGGTCATGATGATTTTCTCCTGTTTTCTTCCAAAAATTTATAGTTTTATGTTTTACATCTAAATCTATGATCCCTTTTGAGTTAATCTTTGTATAAGATAGGAGGTTTAGGGGGAAATTCTTTCTTCCTCTCTCTTTTTTTTTTTTTAAAGATTTTATTTATTTGACAGAGAGAGACACAGCGAGAGAGGGAACACAAGCAGGGGGAGTGGGAGAGGGAGAAGCAGGCTTCCCACGGAGCAGGGAGCCCGATGCGGGGCTCGATCCCAGGACCCTGGAATCACGACCTGAGCTGAAGGCAGACGCTTAACGGCTGAGCCACCCAGGAGCCCCTCTCTTTTTTTTTTTTGCATAAGGATGACCAATGGTCCCAACACCATTTACTGAAAAGACTATCCTTATTCCATTGAATTGTTGTTGCAGCTCTGTCACAGATCAAAGGGCCACCTCTGTATCTGCATTCTCTATGTGTCTATCTGCCAATACGAGTGCCTTGATTCCTGTGGCTTTACAGTTATGTCTCTGAATCAGGTTGGATGATTCCTCTAGTATTACAACTCCCTTATTTAAAAAAAATATATTTCAATAAGCATTTAAGTCACCTACCTGAGTAGAATGTGTTTCACCTGCAGTATCAGAATAAGAGAGAGCCACCAAGTCAGCAATCCAGTGGAAGTCACTAGGCGGCAGCTGAAGTTCTTTGCAAACAGATAACTAAAGAAGAAACCCAAAGAAAAAATCTTTCACATCAAATCCAAGTTTTTTGAATATGCACTTGACTTCACTATTTTCTTTCCCTGCATATTTCAGATTCTGATTCACTGCTGGAAATACCATTCCATAAATATTCTTTCTTCTCACATCTTTTTGATCAGGCTTTCATCAGGGCTTTCAGTAATTTCAAAACAAAATATCTTAAGAGATACAGAATCAGGAAAACTTAAAAGGTAGACCAGACACTGAATATCAACTAGCCCAATACCTTTCTGGACTAAAAAAAGTCTACTGGTTAAGAGATGTATGTATGGAATTCTCCCAGGCTAGTCTTGATTTGTTTATTTGACATCTAAAATCAGCATGACCACAGAATAATTAATTATACCAAGTTGTCCAGAAATATTTCTTAGCCTCAGCCAGGTATCAGGCTCCTTCTGCTAACTCATCACAGCCCCCAGGACGTCTCCTTGCCTATGTTCTCAACTACAAATACTACTTTCTAGGCAGCAGCAGTACAAAGGCCACAGATGTCAAGAGTTCAGATAAGCACAAGTCCCCAGTTCCACTAGAACTAGTGCCTTCCAATAGAACAACGGCCCAGTAACAACAGACCAGTGATTGGTGCAAGGAAGGATGCCTGATATGGAACACACAGGAAATTAGGTTGCTGACAATAAGTTCTTGGAAACACAAATGATAATCCTATGTGAGAAACTTGACAACCGAAAGTTAAACTAGTAACTAAAATTGGTATCATTTTTTCCCTATTTTTAAAAGACTTATTTACTTATTTGGTGGGAGGGGAAGGGCAGAGGGAGAAAGAATCCTGAAGCAGACTCCCAGCTGAGCACAGAGCCCGACGCAGGGCTCAATCCCAGGACCCCGAGATCATGACTTGAGCCAAAATCAAGAGTCGGCTGCTTAACTGACTGAGTCACCTAGATGCCCCTGTTTTTCCCTATCAAGCATCATTCAGCAGATTTAGTGAAACAGTCCTATCTTAGAAATAAAAAAACTCAATTCATTAGCTTATGTGGATGGCATTTAGTCTTAAACTTCATTAGGTAGACTGACATGACATTTATAACATTCATTAAAAATTTCGAAGTCTCTAATGTTATTAAATGTAAATAAGATGGATCTAGTTTAAAATTAAATGGGAGAAAATTTTTTTTCCCAATACAAAAACGTATATGCATGCTCAGTATTTCATATCATAACAAAAATGCAAATCCATAATGTTTGAGTAGATTCAGATTACTGTCCTCTAACAACTCTAGAGCTTTAGGGTAAAAACTAAGAGCCAGTTGGTAATCCTCTCCTCTATCTCCTTCTAGCTTTCTAAATAGCAATTACCTTAGTAATAGGTGACAGAGCAATCTTCCAAATAATGAGTTTCTCTTTGCAGACCAGACAAGCCCATCCACCTTCATCTATGTGAACAGTCAGCTGATCATCAACTTAAAAAAAAAGTACATAATTAAACTTAAAGCATTAATAAGAAAAACTGTTAAAAAAATAAAAAGAAGAAAAAAAACCTTATAATTCCTTATACCAAGATCTTCTTTATAGCTACATTCTTTATATATATGTGTGTATATGTGTGTCTATATATATAAAAAATTACCACATAAAAAAAGATTCATTCTCATCAAAAATGCTCTCGAGTAATTCAAGAATCATAAATATCCAAAACAAGAAATCCATTTAACTTTGATAACCACATTTAGAAATGTATCTGAAGGCAAAAAGTGTATTTTGGACTTAGGTTTAATATCTTTTAATATTGGTTATAAGCAGGTATCTTACTTTCTATAATATTTAGTAACATTTGTAATTTTATTTTGATACAGCAACAGAAATAATAATCTCTCCCATTAAATATATTAAAAATTTCAAGGAAAAACTGTTCCTTCAAAAGAATGTGATTTTCGAATACTTTCTTTAAAAGTATGATAAATCACTTCACTATATGGAGACATCAAGGGTTACATTCCATATTTTTTAAAGAGGTATTTAAAGAGTTATTTATTTATTTTAGAAAGAGAGAGAGAGAGCACGAGGGAGAGGCAGAGGGAGGAGAGGAAGAGAATCTTAAGCAGACTCCTCACTAAGCGCAGAGTTCCACACAGTGCTCAATCCCACAACCTGAGCTAAAACCAAGAGTCGGCCGCTTAACCGACTGAGCCACCTAGACACCACGTGGGTTACATCCCATATTAACTGACAAAACTAAATTAGTATATTGCTGTCGTAAGCACTGGTAGTAAACCTCAGTGTGTTAGCCCTAGAAATTTAATTAATTTGAGCTCTGCCTGCCTAAAGAAGGGCAAGATAAAAGGTATCAATAATGTACAAGCTAAAATACTAAATCATGCCTAGGCTAAGTGTGGGCTTTTTGCTGAATGAGCATATCTGCTCAATATTTTCTTTTCCTGAAAGCAATAAAGCAGCTCCAAATACTCTACTGGTAAGCCCTTGAGGTCTCTGACTTAACACACAGCACTTGGTAGGTTTCCATATAGGGAAAAGTTCTTTCAGTTTACACACCCCTCAGATCCTAATTTCTAGGGACTCTCTCCTCTGAGGCTGTGTACTATTTGTTATTAAAAGTCTGGTGGGGGCGCCTGGGTGGCTCAGTCGTTAAGCGTCTGCCTTCGGCTCAGGTCATGATCCCAGGGTCCTGGGATCGAGTCCCACATCGGGCTCCCTGCTCGGCAGGAAGCCTGCTTCTCGCTCTCCCATTCCCCCTGCTTGTGGTCCTGCTCTCGCTATCTCTCTCTGTCAAATAAATAAATAATATCTTTAAAAAAAAAAAAAAGTCTGGTGGCATGAGCCAGGAGTATGTTAAAAGGTTTAAATATAATTTAAGCTGAAATTTTTAGAAAAGTAAAGAAAAATACATATATTTAACCAACTGAGCCACCCAGGCGCCCCTGAAAAATATATATATTTAAAACAAAAACAGTGCAGGGCGCCTGGGTGGCTCAGTCACCTTCAGTGTCTGCCTTCAGCCCAGGTCATGATCCCAGAGTCCTGGAATCAAGTCCCGTATCAGGCACCCTGCTCAGTGGGAAGTCTGCATCTCCGACTCTGCCCTCCCCCTGTGCATGCACATGCTCTCTCCTGCGTGCGCTCTCCCTCTCTCTCTCGCAAAAATAAATAAAAAATCTTAAAATAAATATATAAAACAAAAACAGTGCATGACAGAGGTTAGTGGAAGTTTAGTTGTCTGAAAACCACTGTACCTGAGTTCTCAAGGACTCATAGGGAAGATAGGCAAGTTCAAGTTGATGAGAAATATTCCTTTCTAGAATGGAGTACTTTAACCCTTTTTGATTATCATTCACAGTATGAACTACATTTTATATCATGATGCATTCACATACAATTTAAATAAAACAAACACGTTATCAAGCATTATTATATGAAATGCACTCTGATATTCTGCATTGTTTTTTTAAGTGCTGGCCATGAGCCACTAAACTGATTTCAGTTACTACCTGCAGTTTGAAAAACACTGTTCCAGAAAATCACAAAAATCTATAATTGCATCATAAATAAAAATGCCTTGGGAACATCACTAAGGATGCTCTGAACTTTGCTCTTCAAGTCACCCAACCCCTCAACCTTACTGCTGCCTTTCTAACACTTGTGTGACTGCATCTTTCAAACTTCCACTCTAATTCTCTGCCAACAGAATCTTTTAAAGATACACCACACTGATAACACTAATGTGTACATAACCTCTGGGATACTACACAGGATCCAGAAATGGAGATAGTAAGACTTGACCTTACTGTATTATCACACCCAATAATGTGAGGCAGTGTTTTGATTTTTTTTAAAGCTAAACTTCATACACCCGATCAACTTTTGAAATCAGACCGAGTTTTGCATATGCAGTGTTTACAACCATAAAAGAAGTAATGTGATTGTGCTAAAAATAAACTCATTCTGCTTCTCAAATTCATTACATTTCTCAATTACAGTGAAAACCAAATACATTACCTGTTTCCACCCCATTTAAGTGAAGGTGTATCAGAGAAAGCACAAATTTCAATCTGAGCCAGAGCCAGGCTGCATTCTGAATTGCTAATAGAGGCAAATGGAAAATGATACCCACCTTCAGCCAATGTCAAGGCTTCCATTATTTTAACAGGAAGAGAAGATCCAAATGTTTTCACATCGTAGTTCATAGACTCAGTTACACAGTGGTGTGGCAATATTCGTGTAGGTGTTCCTCTAAAGAAAAGAGACCCCATTCCTTGAACCATAACTTAAAATTTTCCATTATCTTGTGGCGCTTGGGTGGCTCAGTCAGTCAAGCGTCTGCCTTGGGCTCAGGTCATGATCCCAGGTCCTGGGATAAAGTCCCACATCAGGCTCTCTGCTCAGCGGGGAGCCTGCTTCTCCCTCTCCCTCTGCTGGCCACTCCCCTTGCTTGTGCTCTGTCAAATAAATAAAATCTTTAAAAAAAAAATTTTCCATTATCCTAATTTTAAGGTACGTATTTTCACATAAAGAGAAGATCTCTGATAAACAAGAAGAATGATGAGGTGTAACAGTAAAAAAACAAAAAAAAACAAAAAAAAAACCAAACAACTCTGGCTCATGTGTACTGTATAATATATTTTTTGTTAAAAAAAAAACAAAAAACAACTGGGCGCCTGGGTGGCTCAGTTGGTTAAGCAACTGCCTTCGGCTCAGGTCATGATCCTGGAGGCACTGGATCGAGTCCCGCATCAGGCTCCCTGCTCGGCAGGGAGTCTGCTTCTCCCTCTGACCCTCCCCCTCTCATGTGCTCTCTCTCATTCTCTCTCTCTCAAATAAATAAATAAAATCTTTAAAAATAATTAAAAAAAAACTGATAGGATCTAGAAAAATGGCTTCTGACTCTTATGCTCTAGGAATCAGACGCATGCTCTATTCACTTAAACTATTTATAACTGCTTCCTTAGCTGTGAAATACGAAGGTTGGACTAGATCAGTATTTTCCAAATTGTGGGTCATTTTGAGGGTCTCAATCAACATTTTCGAAAAACAGAATATAATCCAGAGTTATTCTACACTGTGGTCAAAAAAGCTTTACAAACACTGGGTTAGATTATCTTTTTTTTTTTTTTTAAAGATTTTATTTATTTGACAGAGAGAGAGAGACAGAGCAGGAACACAAGCAGGGGGAGTGGGAGAGGGAGAAGCAGACTCCCTGCTGAGCAGGGAGCCCAATGCGGGGCTTGATCCCAGGACCCTGGGATCATGACCTGACCTGAAGGCAGAGGCTTAACGACTGAGCCACCCAGGCGCCCTGGGTTAGATTATCTTTAAGCTCTCATCAATCCTGGAACTTTTTTTTTTTTTTTATTGAAGTATAGTTGACACATAATGTTACATTAGTTTCAGATGTACAAAACAGTGATTGAAGCACAGCTACTGTCTGTCACCATGCAACCCTATTATAGTATCATTGATTATATTCCCTATGCTGTACTTTTCATCCCCATGACTTACACATTCTATAACTGTAAGGCTGTACCTCCCACTCCCTTTCACCCATTTTGCCCTCATCAGGCAAATTTTATGAAATCTACCAGACTTTTTTTTTTTTTTAAAGATTTCATTTATTTATTCTTAAAAAATAGAGAGAGAGAGGCAGAAGCAGAGGAAGAAGCAGGGAGCCTGATGCGGGACTCCATCCCAGGAACCCCGGATCATGACTTGAGCCAAAGGCAGACGCTTAACGGACTGAGCCACTCAGGCACCCCCAGATTTGTGCAACCAAGATATTAGAGTCATGAGTATCTGCTGTTACCTGTTCTTCAACAGCAGATACAGCAGTTGAAATTGTATCTCCTCACCTTGTTAACATTCAAAAAATAATGTAAAGCTACCAGTATAAAATTTATTCTCTTATGAGGATTAAGTGAGCCTTGTTTGTTGACATACTGTTATAACAAAGATTTTTCTTTAAATAATCACTAGAAGGTAAGAAAAGATTTTAAAAACCACACATTAAATACAGCTTTTATTCTGACTTTTTTCAAAAGGAGTAGAAAACACTGACAAGATCACCACTTTGAAGAGCACTTTCAAAATATAAGTTTTCTTGCAAAACAAAGTTGTTTTTTGGTAGACGAATTCAGAGGAAACTACCCAGAAACATGTTACCTTCTAAAGCTCTAGATTAATTATGAAACGGTGGGTGCGGAGCATGATTTAACAGGTGATGTGGACTGATGTGCCACGCTTTTATTTGCTAACAAAACTACTCTTAACTCACTGCTATGGAAAGCCTTATACCTATTAATTTAGCTACAAAGTTAACTTGTGTGGCCAAAACTCCCTTAACTATTAATCAGCAGATATTAATGGCAATAACTATGTTAGGCATTATACGGTTTTCCTGGGTTGGAGATGCTCCTTGTCACCATCGTCGAAGGATTTCATATTGATTTGGCCTTAAGTAAAGCAGGCTATCGCCTTTTCACAGATGAAAAGACTCATGACTGACCTGACACCGGAAAACAGGGGTACTAAGAAGGAGGCAGGTAACCACTGACTGAAATCCATTTTGTTCACTTCCACACAAAGCTAATTCCATGAAAAGTGCAAAGTGAAGGCTCGATAAATTAAAACGAGGCTTAAATAACTACCCGCAAAGATGGAGAAGATCTATTTCCCCAAAATTCTGGCGTTCTTCCCCGCCGCCCCCGGTTCCGGAGGCTTCTGGAGACACTATGCCATCAGGCCCGCCGAGTCACATAAGCCTATCCGTCACCAGACTGAACCGGGGACAATCACTTACCGCGAGCTCAGCGAGCTACGCCGGCCGACCGGCGAAAAGAGCACCGGGGAGCTGACTGCCGACGCCAAGGACAGACCTTTCCTGCTAGTCGCCCGGGGCGTGGAGCCCGGCCCGACTCCGCCCAGCGGGCCCCTTCGGGTCCCAGGCCCCGGTGTCCGCGGAGAGGAGACGGCCGGGAACATGACGGAACGCAGAAGCGACACAGGGCGCGCGGATTCCGCCCGTGGGGCTGAAGCGCGGCTCGCGCGCGGAGCTTGAACACCCGGACGCGGGAGAGCGCGCTGTGATGGCGTAAAAGCACAGCGCCGAGCGGCGGGCTTTGTTGGGGAGGCGGGGGAGGGCGAGCGATCTGACGTAAAAGCGCGGCGCCGAGGCGCGGGGTGTGGTCGGAACGGTGTGTGTAGGGAGGCGGGGGAGGGCGCGCGGTAATGACGTCAGAGTGCTGCCTCCAGCCGCGGGATTTGGTCGTAGAGGGTGCCAGTGGAGAGTTTTAGGGGGCTGGCGGGTGTCCGGAACCTCAGGAAAGTGAAACTGGAGAGACAGGCGCCCTTCTCGACTGGCCCTCTAGCAGCCTGAACGCAGAGCCTCTCTTTGCGTGGTCTTTCCTGAGCCTCTTGGGAACTGGGAAGTATCGGTTCCCTGGTCCACGCTGAGAAGGGAGAAAATCGGAAAAGCTGCCAGTGGTTTCACACTCTGTTATATTTGTTCTCCTCTACATTTGTCATTCCCCACTCCACCCTGTCTCATCCACGCTAGGGAACGCTAGTGACGCCACAAGTCCACATCTTTATCCCAGATCTTGCTCAAAAACTGTGGGCTCTAAACAGCTCCCTAGTGGACACCTCGACCTGCGTGTCCTTCAGACTCCTGACGATCCACGTGTTAAAAACTGAATTCTTGTTTTCCTTTGGGACGGACCCCTGTCCTACCACCTCTTGCCCCACTTGGTAAAACTGGCCAATTACCCCAGTCAAAAAGAAGAGCTCTATCCTGGAGTCATTCTTCACACTTAACCGCCACTGCAACATCCTGGTATACACTGTAGCTCCTGAATGCAGTCCCTGGATGTCAGCCTCCTGCAGTGGAGACCGGAGACCGCAGCGCGTGGAATAGTATCAGGACCTATGCCTCGGGGGCAGCCCAAGTACTTCTTTATCACTACCCAGGGTTCTACATTTTCCTAGTGGCTGCCATTTCCTTAAAAAAAAAAAAAAAAAAAAAAAATCATTTCCTTGTTTATCCTTTGACCTCATTTTAAATACTATAGTCCCTTATACGGGACATCTAGAAGAAGTGGCTCTCACACTCGAACATGTATCATCACCAGGAGGGCTTGTTAAACTGCGTTGCTGCCCATCCACAGTGTCTGAGAATTTGCATTTCTAACAAGTTTCTAGGTGTTGGTGATGCTGCCGTCCGGGGACATTTTGATAACTACTGGCGTAGTAATTGAGTGTATAGACTCTGGAATTAAATGGGACTTGGTTCAAATCTCACCTCTGCTATTTACTATCTGTGTCATCTTTTTGAGCCTCTATTAAATTACTAATAGTACTCACTTGTGAGAATTAGATAATATAGATGTGACTGTATTTGTGGATGTCAAAAAACATAGAATGAAGGCAAACAAACTGAAGAAAAACAGTATTTCCAATAAAATAGTACTATTTAAGGAAAATCAGTAAGAGAAAGCAAGCTACCCCAATAGAAAAAAATGGAAATGCATGAAGGGCATGAACTAGCATTAAGTCAAAGACTAGAAATGACCAAAAACACATGAAAAGATCTTCAACATCACTAATAGTTAAAGAAATGCAAATCAAACCACCTATCAGTATTGTTTGCCTGTTGGATTAGCTGGAAAGTTATAAAAAATGAAAATAGTTCATGTTGAAAGGCTGTGGAGAAATAGGTGCTGATGTATACACTTCTGGCGAGATTTTTATAAATTAGTACAGTCTTTTAAGAGGATAATCTATCAAAAAGCCTTATAACTTGTATATGCTCTTTAAAGGTGGCAATTCACTTTTAGAATTTATCTGAAAAAATCATAATAAATAGTATTGTTTATAATAGCAAAGAATATAGAAAGATGTCCAATGATAGATTTATAGTATATTCACATTATAAAACTGTATATGGTTAAAAAGAATACATGTAGCTGTGTGTAATGAATATTTAAGGATATAGGAAAATATTGTTGTAAAATTTTAAAAAGCAGGTTGGTCACAAAACAGTATGTCCACTATGAGCCCATTTTTTATTGAAATAAAAAAATGTCTCATAGACACATGTACACATGTGAGAAGCTCAACTTGAACATGTGCCTCCCTTCTATATACCCTTCCTAAAGTACTGCCTTTCAGTTAAGACTAAACTTTGATTTCTGTGGTACTAATCACTGCAATCGACAATGGGATAGTAGCCAGAATTATTTCCTGCAGCTGTGGTAGAATTGTTAGAATTCCACTATCACCAACATATTAATGGTGATATTATTAAAATGGAAAGGCAGGGAAACAATAAAGAACTCATCATGGAAATTATCCATGCCCAATCATTTTCAAGGCATTCATTTAATTGCCTCTAACGGCAATGGAACTTTTTGAGATAACTCTAAATTTCATTGTAGTTTAAAAGTCCTCCAAGCAGGGAAGAATGCATATCGTTTTCACTAGTTCTGTGGTCAGCAAACTGTCAAGGGGCAGAGAATATCTCTAGCTTGCAGGCTGCAGTCTGTTGCAACTGCTCATGAATGAGTGTGGCTATGTTCCAATAAAACTCTATGTATGGACACTGGAATTTGAATTTCACGTAACTTTGATGTGTTATGAAATATTTTTCTTTTGGTTTTTAAAAATCATTTAAAACTGTAAAAACTGAGGCACCTGGGTGGCTCAGTCAGTTAGGCATTCGACTCATGGTTTTGGCTCCGGTCAGGATCTCAAGGTCGTGGGATCAAACCCCAAGTCAGGCTCCACACTCAGTGTAGTCTGCTTGGGATTCTCTCCCTTTCCCTCTACCGTTCCCCCAGCTTGTGCACTCTTTCTCTCTCTCACTAAATGAAGAAAATCTTTAAAAACTAACAAACAAAACTGTAAAAACCATCCTTAGCTTACAGGTCATACAAATCAGGCAACTGGTCACAGTTTGCTGACCCATGGGCTAGTTTCATGAGGGAGGCACAGGTCCTTTGTTGGCATAGGACCTAACAAAATAAAAGAGGATGCTCAATGTTTTTTGAATGAGTTGAATGAATAGAGATTGCCATGATGCCTCAGACGTAAAAATCATGTAAAACATCCCCAGAGGAACATTTACAATGTAGTTCTCACATACTTCTTTCATTAATATACTTAATGTTTTGTAACATTTACATTTATTTTCATTTATTTTCTAACAGCTTTGGCATTTTTTATGAAATAAAATTAATTTCCCAAAATAGAGCCTTAGCTTATAAAAATGTACTGACAAGGGTTTAGCCTATAATGGTTTATTTAGCTTATGATTATTTCCTGAGAACCAGTCAGGTCCAGGGTCAGAGAAGGCCTTGCACATAGAGATGAGCCTGGGAGGGTGGGCAACAAAACACTGAGCTCATTAACATGAAATTTTATCTTCACAGGTAGAATTTCTGGTGATTAAATTTTTCTTTTTTGCTTATTTTCTAAATTGCTTATATGAACATACATATCCTTCAATGGCTCTCCATGCATGTAGGATGAAAGCTAAGATTTTCAGCATGATATTGAAGGTCCCCCATGATCTGGCTCCCATTTTGTGAATATCTCCTTGTATAAAGCATCAATGCTGAATTAATTTACAACTTGCCTATTCTTTTTTTTATTAAGATTTTTACTTATTTATTATTTGACAGAGAGAGACAGTGAGAGAGGGAACACAAGCAAGGGGAGTGGGAGAGGGAGAAGCAGGCGCCCCTGCAACTTGCCTATTCTTATTTCCTCTTCTGTGAAAAGAGGGTGATAGGTATTTCTTTAAATTATAGGATTGCCTGGGGTGCCTGGGTGGCTCGGTCGGTTAAGCGTCTGCCTTCGGCTCAGGTTGTGGTCCCGGGGTCCTGGGATCGAGCCCTGCATTGGGCTCCCTGCTTCTCCCTCTCCCTCTGCCTGCTGCTCCCCCTGCTTGTGCGCCTCCCCCCGTCAAATAAATAAAAAATAAATATATTATAGGATTGTCAAAGTATCAAACATGGTAACATGTATAAACACTCTGGAAACAAAGTGGTACCATCCACAGTGACAGTGTTAGCAACACCACCTCTGTACTATTTAGCTATTTTCTTGTAATTGATTTTTATCTGCCTTATCTTTCTAAATAAGCTAGAAGCTCCTTGAGGGCAGATAATCATTATGTCATCAGCTCGACAGCACAATTCCTTGTCCAAAGTGGGAGCAGGGGATATTTATTTATTGCACTGAAGCAACTAGAATGTTTATGTAGGAGTATTGATAATACTGACTCCATCTTTAGCCCTCCATCTTGTTCACGTTTGCTCAATGACCTCTCTTGTGTTCCAGGCCCCTTGAAGATTAATATACATACTTCAGAAATGCCCACCAAGGCTGGGATGTGTGGAGGCTTGCTTTGGCCTCCCATGAATGTTAGAGATAAGAGTCTTTATCCTTCCCGACACATGGATGGTGCCACAATATCTAATTAAAGGTTAGTTGTCAGTTAGGTACATGCAAGCCCTTTGATCTCACTACAGTGCCCTCCCTACCCACACATCTCCTTGCTCTATAAACTCTGTAGACCAAGGTCTGGACTTTATGGAGAATAGCTGTGCAGCTGCCTGGATCGTCGTCCACCCGACCCCCCATCAGCAAGTTACCCTGAATAAAACTCTGTGTAAATTGGATGGAGTCACCTGCTTCATTCTCCAGTCTCTAAGTACCTTCTCAGTTTGGGGGATATTTTACTGTCCCTCCCCCACCTTCTAACAGTTTGTAAATAGCAAAAAAATTTTTAAAAATAAAAACAAAAATGAGGACATTAACAATCAGATAGGGAGGAAATGAAAGGAACTTGTAATTACTACTTACTTTTATTTATTTATAATGTTAGTTTTTTTTTCTTTATTCCTGAATCTCCACAGCCAAATTCCAGTAAGAAACTGAATGTAATGAAGTTTTATAAGAAGTGACAGACACACATAAAGTTCTCTATAAATTTTAATCCAGGATATAAAATGTTCCCTAAAGACACAATTGAACATTTTGTATTAGAAAAAAATATATAATGATCAAATTCAATTTTGTAAATACTTCTATGGCACAAAGAGATT